GATAGCAGTCATGCCAACACTATACTGTTCAAGACATTTCCTTAATTGATTTAAAAAGAAATGTTCTTTTTCTTTTTTTAAATATAAAAATTCACTTTTGTTTAATGATTAGTGAAGTTTTCTTACGTAGTACAAATAAGAATGCTAAATTATGATTGTCTAACAGCAGTGAAAATTTGATTGACAGCATATACATGAAAATCTGTCCTTTTTGTTGTTTTTGTTTTTTTCCCCCTTTTCTTTTTTTCCCATTCAGTCACCTCCATGCAACTCCCATAAATAAGAAGAAAATGATAGATTTATGCTGCCAATCATCTCAGTCCTCTAAGATAGGATGTTTTTTTTCTGAAAGGAAGAGGTGTCTTTGTTCTCTCCTCACTAAAAGGGAGGGTTTATCTACTCTTGAAGAGAAAGGCCTAATCTCTCCTTAAAACATTAGTCTTCTGTCTTCATTTTAAAGTCATGGAGTTATCTCAGTTGGGCATAGTGGCGAGGTCAGACGACAGTGGCGTCCTCTGGAAATATGACCCCGTGAACATTCATGGGAAGCATTTTTGCACCATCTCAACAAACGATGATCAATTCACACAATTCACTCTCCTCTCCTGTCATTGGCTGCAAGACCCTCCCTCAGAAGCTGTCCGCCCAGTCTCATAACTGCTCTATTAATTTAACCTGAACCGCCCATCTACAGCATTCCTCATCTAAACATTTCCATCATTTCAAAACATCAGCTGGATGTGAAAACGTCCACCTCCTGTCCGTTACATCCCCTAATTCAATATCTTCCAGACCATTCTCTCTAGACATCCTGAGGGGGATCGGATTTTTGCCCGGATGCGAAGCTTGTGCCTTTTTTAACATTGACTCGCCTCCACAATGGCCAGCCCACAAAAGCTCATTGTCCTCATTGACCGATAGCCAGGACACACAATAAACGAATCCGTTTCTTTTAGCCCAGCTTCCTAGCCGAGGATATTAACAAACTGTAGTGTGACATTAAACTCAGAGAGCTTAACCATTTCTCAGTCTCAGGGTAGTCTTCTATTCAGCATCAAGGTTAAAGCCAGCTTTGATGAATGTGGGACTTTTGTCTAGTGAGCAGCTCTCAGTCCTCTCTTTGTCTCCTCTCTCAATATCTTTCTCTCTCTTTTTTCTCGTGCATACGCACATGTATGTGACATGTCCTGTACTCAATGTGGTATGTTTCTAGCTCTACCCAGCGCTCTACAAATCATGTTAAAATCTGTTGATTTAACTAAAGCCTTGATGAATGGCGTCCTTCTCACTTTCTATTTGTCTCTCCCTTCAAGAGTGCTGAATCCTTCCCTGTAGTCCATGTCGTTGAAAGAGAGAGAGCAGAGAGAGTTCAGGGAGAAAAATGGCAGAGAGAAAGAAGGGGGGGGGGGGGGGAGAGATTTTTCTCTTCATTAGCGGTTGTAAAGAGAGAACTAGCGGAGAGGTTAGAGGTTTTAAGGGATCGATGTTTGCTGTTCAAGGCTCTGAGTCCGGCAGGGGAGAGAAATGTGGCCTCTGTGGAATTTATGAGACCTTCCAGGCGCGCACCTTTACAGCGCTTTGTGATCCCGTACACACACATGCTCACAGGATAGCTCTCGCTTACGCACACACACACACCTATAGAGAGCTTTGTGATGTCATCGATCTGCTCATCTATCAATTTCTCTTCTGTCAATCTCCCCCACCTTTTGTTGTCCTTTCTAAAGCTTTGTTCATTTTTTTTCCCCAAACAGACAGGTAAACTCTAATAAATTGGGTAACTAATCCATTTTTATGACACTGAACTTTTTGGTTTCTTTAACTTTGGGTACTTTTTCTTTTTTTTCATTTTACATAATTTAATGAAGATCACATAAAACTGTCTTGGAAACATCTACCATGTTTTATTGTTTTACACTTGTCCAAGACTTAAATCCTTAAAGGGCATATTGCAGGTTAGAAGACCCAACGAGTCAATGCATAGAAAAATAATGTAGGAACTAGATTTTCTTTAAAATATACTTATAAATACGCTACAGAAGCTTCTGGATTCGTTTTTGAGAGAAAATTTTACTTCGGCGTCTGAAAATGGGCGTGGCGGTCGTGACGCAACGAGCGGGAGAGCGGTCGATTCAAACAACAGGAAAACAATGGATCGCAATGACATTTCGGACGCTGAGGAAATACTCGTCTGGGGGACCAAGCCATAAAGTTATGAGCCTGCTATGCTAAAGAGAGCAGGGACAGGCCAGGATAATGTTAGACAGAATGGTAAGGGACAAATTGAGTTGTGGTGTGAGGAGAACCAGTGGATAACAAGACAGGTGTCTTTTGGTGAGAGACGTGCTTATAGATGCACGTTATACACTGTGCTCCCAATATACAGATTATTATGATCCTATAACAAGCCAGCAGATATTAGTATGTTTAGGGTAGGTTTATACTATTAAATGTATAAAAACTGTACTTGAGTATATTTCTATTGTACTAAAAGCATACTGGTACATTTTTAATACATATTTTTTCACCTGGGTTATAACAGAAACAGAAAATGAAAGATTTGAGTATTTAAACAACCAATTTTGTTTTTCAATTACTATTTAGGGCATGACTAAGTTACCTATATCACACTATTTGATGCCATTGGTATAGTATTCGACGATCAATAGGCATCCCATGTTGAACTCCATCATATCATTGGGATGATTATCATTTGATCTGAAGTGAACGAAGCGGATGCGGAAGAGAAATCCCGTCGAAAGATAGGCTATAGCACTGTCCCTTTTCTTGTAATGGAAACTTGTGGACTCGATCTTGAAGTCCTGACAGGCCAGAGTTTTTGCAACCTCCACAAACACAATAATTTACCACGACGATGATAAATTAAAATACACAAACTACCGAAAGCACACTTACTGACGACCGCTCTCACTGAATACCAGCCTACTCTGCACTGAGCCGAAGCTGAGGCTCCCTAACATGACGTAAAATGACGCAATGTTGAAAAAAAAGCCGTTTTTACGAGCAGTCCAAGAAACGCTCACTTTATCAACTAAATTAGTGCCCTTATGTTGTTTTAAAAAAATTCAATCCTGCATTAACTTTTCATATGGTATTTTCATACAAGGTAATCTATAAATGTATTTATTTTTTACCTGCAATATGCTCTTTAAATTAGAAAATCCTTAACAGAAATATTATTGCATGTTTATTTTATTTTTTTGTAATTTCCACAACACTGAACGGATATATACTGTAAACTTAATGAATTGGGTAAATCAATTTGTATGATGCCGATGTTTTTTTGAACATAAGACTTTTTTTATTTTATTATACATCTGCAATAGCCAGATTTTTAAGATTTTTTTTAAAAAAACTTTAAGTGCGCCTGCAACCAGTTTAGAGATATGAGGGTTTGGGTAGAGAAACAAGTGCTTTTGTGTGTAGTTCAGATAAATAATTCATGGAATATTGTTTATTAAATTGGGTGAGCAGGCCACAAGAGTGCTATATCTGTTGTCTTAGAATAAAAGTATAAAAGGAAAAAGTTGATACAGCTTTTGGTAAGATTAAAAGAGCTTTTGTCAATGGGTGGGAAACACTAGAGAGAACATTTAAATGCCCGGCCATCAAAGTGACAGATAATGATTATTTGTTGTGCAACATCTGTATTAGTTTAGCTGTGTCAGAATTTGTCCTTGACCACCTCTAAAAGTGATATCAATCACAGACTGATTAAGTGCTATCCGATCACAAAAAACATGTTTATTTCAGGTGTGAATGGGACAATAGAAAAGTATTGTATGTCCAGTCTTCAACTGAACTCTACACCCTGTTAATTTCTGTGTTAAAGCTGATCCGCAGTGCTTGGGGTGATCTGTCATTTAGACAATGGCAGCTACTTTGTGTGTGTGTGTGAGGGAGAGAGAGATGAGGGCGAATAGGGGGAGATAAAAGAGAGGATCATGTAGATCCAGCTCCCTGCTGAGACACCAATCCCTCTTTATGGCTCGTAAAGACGCCTCCTCACGGCAGAGCCCAATGTGTGCACACGCGCGCAAACCCACACGCGACTCCTGTGCGCCTGAGGAATGGGAGGGAATGAGAGGGAGAAACTATCTGGGTGAATAACCTGATTTTCACTCGCCGTTCCAGACCTCGTTGTCAGTATATCTTCTCACCTCATTTCCCTGATCGACTGAAATCCCACACACACACACACGCGCACAGGAGAAAGAGAGAGAGAAACTGCATGATGAGATAGCTGGTATCGGGGGCCCTGAGGTGAGCAGAATGAGAGTTTGTCCTTTTTATTGGCTGTAATTAGGATGAGGTCATTACCATGCGCCAAAGGCCTTTCACTGCTGGGAGATCATAAAATGCCACCTGAGCGATTTATATTCCACTCCCAGAATCCTCTGCAGCCTTCCTCACACATTCAAGAGATGATAGGATAAGAGAAGACCTTAAATTTATGTGTGCGCAAAAAACATAGCTGGAGACGAGTGTTATTTGATGTAGCAAGTAATGTATTGAGGAATGGTTGAATGGTTTAATACAATATTAAACCGAATTTTGTCTGTGACTGGTTTCATTCATCTTATACAAAATATTCATAAATTCTTCTAGACATTATTACATTGTCTATCTATCTATTATTGCATTGTCTGTCTATCTATCTCTCTATCTATCTCTCTATCTATCTATCTATCTATCTATCTATCTATCTATCTATCTATCTATCTATCTATCTATCTATCTGTCTATTGTTATATCTATTTTATTTATCTATCTTATTTATTGTGACAGTTTACTATTGTCTATTTTGAGCTGCTTTACATCTGAATTGAATTCTGTTTGCATCAATGAAGCGTTCTTTTTTTTTATTTATCACTGTAAAGCTGCTTTGAAACAATATTTAGTGTATAAATCACCATATAAAAAAAGGTGACTTAACTCTAACGTTCTGATGTGTTATCTTTCATTCTCTCTATCCGCAGTCGTTCATTTGCTGGGGTTGCCGTGGCATCTGAAGCGAGTGGAAGGAGAGCTCTATGAGAATGGTATGAGTAAAGATGATCAGCCTCTGCCGGGAGCCGATTTCACCTTCACTCCTGTCCACCTGCCAGGACTCAACACCACACAGCCAGGTATGTGTGTGCCTGCTGCTTAAATCTTCTTACAAGATTCCTATACAATTATGATATTAATGCTATTATGTCATTTAACACAATGGGCCTAAATGTCAAGTCTTTGCCTACAGCTTAAGATAAGAGAGAGGGTGTGTGTGTTCAGAGTTTCAGAGTTTATTTGCCATTTAATTAATGTCAGAAAACAACAGTACATTTTTTCTCTCTCAGATAAGCCCTGAGATTATGAGGCCTTTTTTTTAAAGTGTGAGGTGTATTTATATCTATGTAGGACTGTAGAGTTTGATAAAGTGCAAATGAAATAAAATTTGTATTGCCATGTTAATTGGATAAAATAGAATAGAATATTTATCTATAAGAAATGTGTCTATGATTTCATTGTAACTCCAAGATGTACATCATTCATATACGGAAATACACATATTACAAGAGTTCAAGAAGTGCCAAATGTAATTACATTACTGTCCTGAAATTTCCTGAAGTCAATATTTTAAATACATTACATACTGTGTGTTCATTAATTCAAACTTTTTGGGGTCAGTATGATTTTTTAAATTATTATTTTTAAATTATTTTATATTTTATATATATATTTGTCTATGCTCACCAATACTGCACTTATTTGTTCACAAATATGGTAAAATGTATGTATGAAGGTATGGTCCTTCAAAAATCATTCTGAACACTGGTTTGTTACTCAACATTTTTTTATTATTATTATCAATGTTTTAAACAGTTGTGCTGTTTAAGATTTTTGTGGAAACTATAATTCTTTTTAAGGATAAATTCAAAGACAAAAAGAATGAGAGTTATGTGAAATCTTTCATAACACTATAAATATTGTTACTGTCTCATTTGATATTTATATATATATATATATACAGTATATACAGTATATATATATATATATATATATATATATATATATATATATATATATATTTGTCTATGCTCACCAATACTGCACTTATTTGTTCACAAATATGGTAAAATGTATGTATGAAGGTATGGTCCTTCAAAAATCATTCTGAACACTGGTTTGTTACTCAACATTTTTTTATTATTATTATCAATGTTTTAAACAGTTGTGCTGTTTAAGATTTTTGCGGAAACTGTAATTCTTTTTAAAGGATAAATTTGAAAGACAAAAAGAATGAGAGTTATGTGAAATCTTTCATAACACTAAATATTGTTACTGTCTCATTTGATATATATATAGAGAGAGAGAGAGAGAGAGAGAGAGAGAGAGAGAGAGAGAGAGAGAGAGCAATGTTTGTGATAGGGGCCCTTTATCCATATATATATATACAGTATATATATATATATAAAGAGAGAGAGAATACCATTTTTGTGATAGGGGCCCTTTATCCATATATATATATATATATATATATACATATACAGAGAGAGAGAGAGAGAGAGAGAGAGTATACCATTTTTGTGATAGGGGCTCTTTATCCACATTGTTTCAGCAACTTCCAAAAGCCTTTATGTTATGATGCAAGGATGTTCACCCTGTAGCAACCTACCTCAGGTGTAAAGTGTCTTGCTCAAGGGCACAGATGATCATAGTTCAAGAATTGCCCTTGCAGGATTCAAGCCTGCAATTTTTTTGGTTGTCTAACCCAGATATTTGACGACGAGGCTGCACTAGCCCACTGTGCATGAACTTAATGCACAGGTGCTTGTTCCATCAAAGGTAATGTAAATAACCTCACACCTGAGAGTCCATACGGGTTTCAGTCCCGCTCCCAAAGCTCTGTCTAGATACAGCAGGTGCGGTTTCATCTTTGCCGTCACCTGAATTTGACTCTAGACAGTAGAGCTTTTCAAAGAGTCTTGCCGATGATCACTTTTGATTCACATCAACCAAACCTCTGAAAAATACATAATTCTTTTTGACGTTTAGATGTGGAGGTGTCTGTGTGGATAGCATCAGAGACCGGATTCATTTAAAAGCCCTCGGGCATATCTTTTCATATCTACTGCCTTTATGTGACCATCAGAGAACATGAGCTCAGTTGCATCATTTTTAATCTTTAACAACTAACATCCTAAAGCTTAGATTAAGTGTATGCTGCTTTTGGTGTCTACCTGATTTAGAAGAAAATGTGTCTTTTATTTTTATTTTTTTACTTAAAATAAATAGTTCAATCAAAAGAAATCTGCCATTATTTATTCTCCTTCATGTTGTTCCTGTATGGCTTTCTGTAAATGTATGAAGAATATCCTGACCACTCTTTTATTTCACATACTAAAAGTGAATGAGGACTGGGCCTGTCAAGCTTTAAAATTACAAAAGAAAAAAAAAAAAGCACAATAAAAGTCATCTGCACAATATTTCAGTCTATTTCTCACAAAAAGCTATCATATGGAATATGAGACTGAAACTATTTTGCATGAGCCATATAGAATACTTTGATGAGAATTTTATGGGGCTTTTGTGTCCTTTTTGAAGCCTGAAAGCTCCAGCACAGGATCATTGTAATTGCATTAAAAAGAGGGACCCGAATACCATTGAAAATGTCTCCTTTTGTGTTCCATGGAAGAAAGAAAATCATACAGGTTTGGAACGACTTGAATAAATGACTTGAACTAATATTTTAAAGCTTATGTTGCAGGCACACTTGGTCCAGTCATTTTATTCAACTTTTTTGTCTCTGGATAAATCATGGAAATTGGAGGAATGTTAGTTTCATTTTTCCATTTGGCTTGACAGATAAAGAGGTGATTCAGCGAGGCAGGGTGATAGAGAGGGGAGAGGTGGTCGTCGGGACTCAGCTGGTACAAGCAATTCCTCCTGGACTCTTCTGGAGGTTTCACATTATGGTTCACCACCCTGAGTATGTCAAGTTCAACATCTCACTCACACGGGATGCTCTGCTGGGTATCTACGGCAGGAGGAATATACCACCTACTCACACGCAGGTAATCACATGCAAACAACAATATTGAAAATATAACCCAAGTTCTTTTATTAAGTGACTTGTGCACAGTACAGTAAATTACATTTTTTGTTATTGTTGTTGTTTTTATACAATCGCTAGAACACATTTCTCAATACTTGGGTACATTTTTCCAAACTCTTCAAAACATCAGTCTATGTGGGCTAAACTGTGGATCCTTTATCATTGCTTTGGCACAAAATACATTCGATGCAATATATTCTGAATCTAAAAAAAAAAAAAATTATTTTAAACATGAATGAGGTTTTGGTAGTTGTTATTGCATTATGAATGTGAAATTATCCGCTGTACCGAGCTGAAAGTTGGTTAGGAGAACAGTGTGAAGAGTTTTGAAAAAGTGACCCAAGTATTGAGTTTGTGTAATTATAAAACTATATTCAGAATTAATCACATGCTGATATTTGCAAAGAAAATCACCTAAATGATGTTGGCCAGAGGAGAACTGGCCCCCGACTGAGCCTGGGTTTTCCCAAAGTTTTTTTCTCCATTCTGTCACCTGATTGAGTTTGGGTTCCTTGCCACTGTTGCCTTGGCTTTTGGCTTGCTTTGCTGGGGACATTTAATATTCAACAATATTATTGATCTGTGTTGTATTATTTTCATGTTATCACTGTGATGCTGCTTTGATACAATCTTTATTGTAAAACGAACTATATAAATAAAGGTGACTTGACTTGAAGATGATTCAAAGACAAATTGTGGAAAATGAGTAAAGCTTTAATTGGAAGTTTTGAAAAGTGTCTTTAAATATAATGATTTTTTTTTTTCCGGATCATTGAATATAAATTAATTGCGTCTTATACTCCATAAGCCGTGTCAGGTTTGAAAATTTTGAAAAACATGTTTTTAGACCTGTGTTCTGATCTATTCTTTTGTGCTATGATATAAAAAAATATGCACAAACACATACATTCTTACAGGGGCAAATACTTTTTCACAGCAATTGCATTTGAATTGCATTAGTTTTATATCACCTGTATAATCATACTAAATTAACTTTTAAATGTATAATTATAAAAAAATATATATGTGCTTCCATGTTTGTGCATGTGTGTTTGTGTAAGACTGTGTGTGTGTGTGTGCGCACGTATGAGAGAAAGGGAGTGTGTTATCAAATTTTTGTATCTGTGCCCAGGTTTTGTCATGATAACTCATGTTGGTAAACGTTGTCTAAGTGCATATTGTTATGACTGGCAGATAACAAGGAGGATCAGGAGCGTATCTAACGAGGTGCTTCAGACGACCCCAACATGCTAATTACATCTCATTATTCAGGATATCATCCGAGATTAACTGTTCACTTTGCTCAAGAAATTAGAGCCCGGTGTAATTCAATTTAAGGCTTCTCGTTTGCTGCTCATTTGCATACGGGCTTGCATATGTAGGCGGAGGCAAAGCAAGAAGACTGGTTAATTGTTCCTGCTTAATGAAAAGGCTTCTTTTGTGTGTGTGTGTGTGTGTGTGTGTCAGAATAGAGATGTTTACACTGCCACAGCTTCCACAAGTCTACTCCGGTGTGCGCGAGTGCGAGTTTGCGTGTGTGTTCACTGAGGCCTGACAGATCGCTACTGCACTGAGACTGTCAACTCCATTGCAGCTCCCACGATCGTTCCTCAGTTTCTCTGGCTGTCATTAAAAGCAGTGGGGCTCTGGTGCAACTGCTGCCCTCCTGGCTCCTGCCTGTCAGCGTGAGAGTCATTACAGTCGATAGGGCTTCAGTGCCTCCACTGCTTCCAGAGTGACTCCGGAGGAGGAGAGGGACTCATTATAGCCAGAGGGTTCTGTAGTGCCTCAGAGAACGCCGCTCATTGATGTTTCTGATGTTTGTAACAGCTCTGTCTAAACACTGGCAATCCCCCCCAAATACAGACAGACAGACAGACAGACACACACGCCACGGATCTCTTCCAGTTTCCTTGGAGATAGATTTATACCACTTACAGGATGGAAGTGACACTGTAGTGCAGGGTGATGAGACAGACGCTGAACACAGATATACGGATCTCAGGCTGAGTCAAACAAGCACAGATGGTGAGCTGTAAACGCCTGGATGTAAACGTCTCGTATTTGCAGCGACTCCAGATTTGATCTGGACTGGTTAAATGTCAGCGTGTCTGGCCGTGTTTGCTCAAAATGCAGGCATGTTTCTCTGATGTGTTTGGATGTCGAAGCATGGGAGCAGATCAGTCCTAGTTTATGCCATCCCCCCAACCCCCCTCTAAAAAAACAAAAAACAAAAACAATGGGGAGCAAATGAGAGTGAGGAAGATACTCATGATTAATATGTGTGCCCACACATACTGATTTAGCAAAATTAGACAAGTTCCTGGTCATATTTTGTTCCAGTCCGAACCAAAATTTTTTTTGTCCAAACCATATACCTACCCCTAAACCTAACCCTACCCATAAGTTTGTAAATGATAGGTGAATAACCAGTCTTTATGAGCACATTTTTTAAAATTAGTTATTTAAAAAAAAAAAACATTTAAAAGAATAAAAAATGAAAAAATGACTGAGCTACACCTGTTTGAAGTCGATTGAGTCACCAAATCCATTTTGAGAAAAATCGAGTTCCAAATCAAAATCACCTAGCAACTATACCTTAAAATCCCCAAATTTGGCACACACCAAGTCAAAACCAAATATATATATATATATATATATATATATATTATGTAGGGCTGTGCAAAAATTAATTGCGATTAATCGCATCCAAAATAAAAGTCTGTGTTTACATAGTATATTTGTGTGTGCTGTATATAATTATTTTGTATATATAAATACACACACATGCATGTATATATTTAAGAAAATGTGTTATTCATATATAAAATATTTATATTTATATAATGTAGATTATGTATTTATAAATATATACAGAATTTAAGCGCAAATAATTCTTAAATATATAAATGCATGCATAGGTATTTATATATACAAAATAATTATATACAGCACACACAAATATATTATGTAAACACAGACTTTTATTTTGGATGCGATTAATCGCAATTAACTTTTGCACAGCCCTAATATTATGTATACCACAATTGTTTGATTAACCTTAATGAATTAGACAGCCTATAGCCTAAGACCTACTGTACCACATGGGTCTAATATAATACCACTTCAAATCTCCCTCTTGCTCACTCTCTCTCCTCCCCCATCATGAGTGTATACTTCCCCTACTGCTGATTGGCTACATGTGTTTTGGTGCTCTTCCCAGAAATCGCTCACTGCACCTTTAACTTTCTAAATTACTTATTTAATGAAGTATGTAGCTTTACATTTATTAATTGGTATGTCCTTAATTTATTTTTAATTTGTTTTTGCACTACTGATATTTCTTTTTATTTGTTCATATTATCATTATATTTTAACCCAGGCATTAACCCAGTGGAGACTTCCTACAGGTGCAGATAATGAATATGTTTGGTACCATGGGTTCATATTAATGCATCTGAAACTAGATTCCCAGACAAAAAGGCATTCAGAGAGTTTGTCAGACATGATGCATGAACTAACATGAACTAACAATGAGCAATATATTTGTTACAATATTTATTCATCTTAAAAAAACATTTTTTGTTAATGTTTTTTAGTTAATACAAATCCAGCTGTTCATGTTAGTTCACAGTGCATTAACTAATGTTAACAAATACAACCTTTGTAAGTGTTGTAAATGTTGAAATTAACTGTAACTAAGACGAATAAATGCTGTAGAAGTTGTTAATTCTTATTTCATGTTTCTTATTTCAACTAGTTCACTAATGCTAACTAATGAAACCTTATTGTAAAGTGTTACCCTTTATCTAGATGAAAGTAATGTAGCATGAGTTGTTGCCAGTGTTGGGTGGATATACTTGATATATTTTTTACAATTCTGTGGGATGCATGTTTTGGCAAGTATTGGACTTAAAAATAGGAGCTTGTTTGTTTGGGGAGTACGCCAAGGCTGTCAGCATCACCTAGAGTACAAGGGGCTGCTGAGACTCAAAGCACCAAGTTATATCTATAAGTTATGGATGGTCAGTGCCAAGGCCATGAACTCAACTTTAGATCTGTGCTATGTTCTTTTAGCGCAATTTAGATCAGATACACTTAAAACTAACTACATGTCCTTTTTCTCCAGTTTGACTTTGTGAAGTTGCTGGATGGGAGACAGCTGATAAAGCAGGATTCCCGGAATGTCAAAACTCCGAACGCTCCTCCACGGAGTCTGCTGATGTCTGCTCTGCAGGAGACCGGTTTTGTGGAATATCTTGATGTAGGCACCTGGTACCTGGCTTTCTATAACGATGGCCGCAAGATGGAACAGGTGGTAGTGTACAGCACACCCATTGGTGAGAGATCACGCTGGAACTATTGTTTTTGTCTATCTGCTTATTTTTTTAATCATTTTCTTTTTAATATTCGCTAAATGTTTGCATCATTATTGTGCTGTTGGATGTAAAAATGCTTGCTTATGATACAAATAGGTAAATCGATACAAAACTTCAGAATGATTTAATTGTATAGTGAATTTGATTGTGTTTGTGTGTTCAGAAACAATAGACGGTTGCTCCACGAACTGTAATGGTAACGGAGAGTGTGTGGCTGGACACTGTCACTGTTTTACTGGCTTCCTGGGGCCAGATTGTTCAAAAGGTATAACTCAACACAATAACACATCATCATACAATATAATTCTGGAGAAAAAAACCATTGTTTAATTAACAAGATATGCATTTAATCTGTACAATATTGCCATCAAACATCATTGCAGTTATAAACACACTAAATAAGCTTTATTTTCAAACAATATCACAATCTCACAGTTACACAATGTTACAAGTATCTGATTAATTTAATAAGTTATGTTTTTGTGTATATTTCAGACTCTTGCCCAGTGCTGTGTAGTGGTAATGGTGATTACGAGAAAGGTGTGTGTGTATGTCACATTGGATGGAAGGGGGCGGAGTGTGAGGTGGAGGAAGGCCAGTGTATCGATCCCACCTGTTCCAACAATGGAGAATGTGTCAACGGAATCTGTGTGTGTGCTCCTGCATTCAAGGGCGATAACTGTGAGCAAGGTACAGCTCACACACACACACAAATCTTTCATTAAAACATTTTCAGCTTTTGATGGACTAGATTCATTTTTAGATAGAAAGATTGAGTTTGAAGCACAAATAACCCTCATCTGCTTCATGACCATCATGCTCAGTGCAAGTGCATGCATGCGTATAGAGCTACAAGTCTATCTCCACGGCTTGTTTATGATGAATGTCCTGTAATTGGATTTTAAACACACTTTCTCCCATAACCATTAAGCTGAAAATTCATTGCTGCCATTTCAGTGATAGAGTGAGAGACAGAGAGAGCTAAAGAGAGAGACTCAATTTAATCCCATGTAGATCCATCCACCAAATTAGCTTTTCCATCAGACACCTTCCGCATCTACACACACACACACATACACACACAGAAAAGTGAACATGTTGCTGGTGTAATTGGAATTTCCATGTATTTGTATCTTGTTCTTGTGCACTCTCTCTAACTGTGGAGTTTTTATGTTTCGCTGTCTCTGACTCTGTTTTAAGCACTATTCAGACATAATTAATTTTCTTTACAACGTTCAACTTATAATTATTTACAGAGGATGCCCATAATTTTGTATTCTGATTCAGACCGAATAGAGATTATATGAAATAATTATAATGTATATTATTAAGGAAAAGATTGAATCTTTTCTACTACACATACTTTTAGTAATTTTACCGACGCATCTCACAGTACAAATGAGAAACACACACAGATTATCTTGGTCGTTATCTTGCGCTCAGTTAAAAAGCAGTAATAATTCAAATTATAATGTTAAGTTTAAACTATTTTGTTTTTCATACTGTACATAATGTTGTGATCCCTAAATACACAGTAGCATTTTTTTTAGAATTTATTTCGACAAAATATGATGGATTTTTAACTATTCTAACAATTATCAGCTTGGCTGTCTCAGGGTGTCTGCTGGGTTTTAAAAAGTATTAAAAAGTGATAAATCAAAATTGTCATTTTAAAACATTGTTTTAAATGTAATCTGAGACATTTGGTTTAAATTGATAAAAATTATTCGTTTTAGTCGCATATTCGCAGTTTCCCCTATTAAATCCAGCCACGCAGCAGATCTTTTGCCACTCAGTCAGGCTGAGGGGGGTTTTTCTGGCGGGAAAGTGATGTCAATGCATTCCCTCTATTGTTTGGTGTGTAAAAAAAACATCAATGTCAACTGGATGGGAGCTAATGCACTTTGGTCGCTGCAATCCACTACACACAAAAATGAATAGATTTAGAGCACGCATTCCATTTTGATTTTTATATGTTACAAATGTCAAAATCTGTGTAAATAATAGAAAGGTTGCTGCTGATTAACGCTTAATTCAGTGTCGTGATGGTTTTAAAAAAAATTCTGAAGGTAGTAAAAAAGGTATTAAAAAGTAGTAAATTTAACTTAAGGAATACTGTATATACCCTGTGTCTCACCTACCAGTACAACTGGTATGCTAAACTCAAATCTTGTTTTACCTATAATTAATCTTCCAAATCTATAATGAAATACACTAGACAGCACATGAATTTCAGCTGTAATTATGCTGTTTGACACTGGTCAAAATATATGAGGAGATGTGTTCCGAAAACAGTTAAATACTGCAATCACACACTTTCCTATCTGGATGGGATTAGATGTCTCAGAGGTAATTTGCACCTCAATTTCTACCCAAATTGTGTGAGGAAAAACTGTCTGAATATGGCTTTATACACACATACATCCTACATGCACCTGTAATTAAATGTTCGTGGGTACTAAATCTCCTTTCTCTGTGTGTTTTGTTGTGTGTCTACAGTCGATTGCGTGGATCCTTTGTGCTCTGGTCGGGGTGTGTGTGTGCGCGGTGAGTGTGTGTGTTCCGCAGGCTGGGGAGGTGAGAGCTGTGAGATGGCACTTCCTGCCTGTAAAGAGCAATGTTCAGGTCATGGAACGTACCAAGCCCAGACAGGGGGGTGTGTGTGTGAGCCGGGCTGGAGTGGCGACGACTGCACCATGGGTTAGTTACAATCGATGCACACATACACATGTGTACAAAAGCTTTCTCCATCTTATCCTTTGTATTTCCAGCCATGAAAGTGCTTTTTCATCATTTGGTTACTCGTGTCTCACTCAGAAGTTTTTGATTCAGTTACTATTGAGCTCCAAATCTAGTTCCGCTCTTGTCTGACAGAGTAAAGCAGGGCACTATGTGCAGGAGTATGGATCGGCTCTTAATTGTAATGTGATATATATTGTAAAAGGGGAATGTACTTTCTTTAATAGAGAGAAAACAGAGTCATTCTTATTATCTGATTGATTTTGCATCTCGTAAAATAACCTGCTGGACTGTAGAATGTCCTTGTGTTTTACAGATGGAGGGAGAGGATTGCAGTTAAATGCATGATATATACCAGAAACTGTCCATGAATATGCTACACTTTGGTATCCCATTACTATTTTAAAAGCTTTAGCGGCCCAATTCCATATTTTTCGGTTGTGAGAACTATTGGATATATCAGGTGAAGTACAGTATTATATAATATGAAATCAACCTAGCATGAAGAGTAGACAGTAAACGCATGTAATGTGAGGAATTTTGCCCATCCATCTCTGACATAATTTGTCAAAATGTATCTCTTTCTACAGTTGGGACAAGAGGACAACTAAATAATCTCCTCATTTCATCAGTCAATGTTAAAAAATCTGTTAAAATAAACATTTTCCTTTGATTTATGGTACATAAAACTTTTTTAATAACTAAGCTAACATTTAGTCTTAAACTATCTGGCCATAACTGAGTGATAACATAATTTTAGCTAAATCGGCAACCTTATTTACCTAGCTGCTACTCATTCTGGCATTTTTATTTATTTATTTGAACTTATTTATTTAAGTTGGATCAATTAAACATCATAAATGATCATTACAAGGTTTCACAGATTGGAAACCTCACATTAAATTAATATAAAATAAACCATTTTTTGTAATATTTCAACCTCTCATGAGGTTGTCTATCAATATGTTTTGAAGGTTAAACGCTTCCTTTCACCGTGCTATTTGTTTATAGTGAAGAACTTCCCCTTATAAGAATTTCTTATTTCTGTCCTATTTTGTACCCTATTCATGGACATGCCACCGCAGTTTCATTATTTCCTGGTTAACAATCATGATATTTAAATAAGAACAGTTTTATTGCAGAGAGAGATTGCTTTTCTGGAAGATCGGCAGGATTTTGTAACTCACTGCCTTTTGGCCACTGGCTAGAATTTGAAAGCATTTATTAAATATTATATTATCAAAATGCAGTATTTATCAAAATGCATGAATATTACAGCATGAAACTGCCCGTTTTCATGGCAGAGCTGTAAAATTGAAAATGTGTATATTAATAAACATTGCGGTTTAATGCCCTTCCTGTCATTGCCAGACATTTATATCTTGTGTGTGATTGAGAGGACGAACTCTTGTCCAATGTGCTTTTTAGAACAGCAAGGATAATTTGTTTTGAATGGTAAAACACAGAGGGTGATAGAAGTGAGAAAGACAGAGGAGAGGCTGTCCAAACTGAACACTCAGTGCTGGAGTTACAGAAGAAAGGTTTGGCAGCTGATTTTAAGTGACTTTTAAGATATGAAAAACTGTCATCTCAGTTTGACCCGTCACGAATCCTGTAAGTACGCGTGAAGACAAAGCTATTCTGTCTGAGGGCCAGAGAGCAGAGATATATTACTGGTTCAGGGAAATTGTTTTTGTCATAAAACTGTGGTCTTAAAATCAGGACCACAGCAGTGTTGTGCAAGTTACTTCCAAACTGTAATACATTAGGTATTACTTGTTACTGTTATTTAAAAGTAATTCATTACCTTACAATATTACTGTCCCAGAATTGTAATGCGTTACATTACTCATGTATTACTTTTGAGTTACTTTCACCCAAAATAACTAAGTAGAACTTAACTTTTGGGCTGTAACGATATGCAATATGAAACCGAAATCGCGATTCGCCAAACGACTCAGATCCACGAACCTACAGAATCGCGACACACCTCTTTCAACTCCAGCGTTATTCTCCTTACCGTCCAGATCCAATGCTGCCTTATCTTTAAATTAGCCTATTAGTATTATTTGAAGTTAAAATTATAAAATACGTAGACCTACACCACAAAAATAGTTGAGGATAAATTATTTAAAATTGGGGAAGTCCAGCATTATGGACATGACATTTGCAGTCAAAACTTGAAATAAAAATTCTCAGAAAATACATGTATTGAAACGTATATAGGCCACTTCCTTAAAGGACTCCAGACATTAGACAAATATCAGTCTATGTTTTATTTTTAATATTAGGGAAAAGACACACATTCATGCGTGACAAAAAAATAGGAGGCAAAAATTTTTTTGGTAATTCTGTTAATTACACTGCGCAAATCGGATGAGGTAGGATTGGCTCTCCAGTCTCCATAGAACTTAAAATATTCATTTTATTTTAGTTTTCGTGTTTGCATTTATGAGGAAAAAACAATGTTACAGACGCGACCGTTCTGAACTGGCACTAAAAGACTGCTTTAAAACTTTCACATAGTCTGTTGCCTTTAAGAAGTAAAAGCAGACAATACACTGTAATACAACTGTAATACAAGCCTCACTAAACATGTAACGAGTAAAATATTACTGAAAATTGATTAGTAATGCCTTACACTACTGCGTTACAGCAAAAAGTAATATGTTACTGTAATGTATTACTTTTGTAATGCGTTACTCCCAACACTGGACCACAGTAACTTGTGGACAGTTTGGGCTGGTGTGATAAAGCAGACTGTAGAGGGAGAGGAGAGGAGAGGATGGGTGTGAAGTTCGTCTCGGTTACGCATGTCAAGTCAAGTCACCTTTATTTATATAGCGCTTTTTACAAAACAGATTGTATCAAAGCAGCTTCACAGTGATAACATGAAAATAATACAACACAGATCAATAATATTGTTGAATATTAAATGTCCCCAGCTAAGCAAGCCAAAAGCCAAGAGAGAAAAAAACCTTGGGAGCAGGGAGAAACACACTTCTTAAATTGCTATTCGTTTCTTGCCATTGTCTCTCATACAAAATTGTTTGTGTGGTGTAAAATGTGATAACTCCGGCCTAGCAAATACTAAAGACAGACACAGTGTTTACACTCAGACAGATTCACATATAGCACTTACTGAAGGCACAGAAGCTGTTGCTCTTGCTTTATAGTTTCCTGGTCGATGACGTCACCCGCCTATGACGTTCCATCTCAACATCGGACTGATTCCATACGTGCCTCATGACGCACACACACAGGGGCGTTCCCGTAGCTTTTGACGCAGCTCGAGTTCCCGTCTCTTTATACTCTTTATACTACTGAAGGTGCACTGAATACATTTTTTTACTGATTAAAAAAGTTGGACAAAATATGATGAAAACATTTTTTAAACTCACATCAGATGATGAACTTGTAACTAATTACCCTGAAGACATGTATTAGCTTGTTCAGGTGTGTCTGATTAGGGTTGGATCTTCAGGGAAATTGCTCATCCCTGCTCTACACGGAGTGGGTCACCCCCTTATGATCACCGCCATGCTGACATAAAACAACAATAATAAAAAATAATAAGTTTACTGTATATTGTAGGGATGGGCATTTTTGTTAATTTCTCATTTCAATCATTGACAGGTCACAAAAAAGTACTACTCGAGTATTCGGGTAAAATTTCATTAAAATTTTTATATTTTTAGACATTTATGAAAATTGATGTTGACAAATAAAAATATGACATCAAAATATGTCTATGAAAACATGAACGTATGAATAGAAGGAAAAAAAACTGCTAGATCATGATGCATCAATGTTATCGAAAAAGAAACATCTATAAGCAATTGCTGCTTGAGGTAAAGCTGAAGAGTAAATGATCTCCAGTAAACTTAAGTCTGTTCTACGACACTTTTATGAGATTACTAATCAGACATCATAGATATATAACACAAACGTTATATTACAACTTGAATCTGCACAAAACGACATGTGAACTAGTTGTCTATTGAAAGTGAAACTCTGGATGTATATTGTATATCATATATATCATATATTTCATGATAGAAAGTGAATCACTGCACGTTTTCGAAGCCATAACTAGATACAAAACCCAGAAACTTTAAATAAAACATAGGTTTACCGTTTAAAAAAATAATAATAAAATAACACTGCTGCATTATTAATATCATCAATGATGTTTGCCCATCAAGCCTATCTAAAAGGAATATGACCTTCTCAAATAAGAAATAACTTGATCATAGTCAATAATGTTGGACATTCCATTTGAGCTGAAACTGATGAGTGAGTGAACGGTCTGTAAAGTGCCATGTTTTTCTAGCTGGTTATTAAACTCAACCAAACGCTTTTTATTTGATATTAATCAGATATAGACACCATAAAAGAAATCGTACAACTTACATCTGCACCAAAAGACGCAAATGCGCACATGAACTTGGCCGTGCTTGTCTGATGTTGTGGACAGCGTGTTGGAAATCGAAAGCACAGAGAATTTACAACATCCTATTACAATCGTGTTCTCATTATTATGTTATGCATTTGATAGATCGGCGCTGCACATCTTAACTGTATTTCATAATCAAAGTGATTCCAGGTGTCATTTCAGTGCACATTTTTCAGTTACACTTTACTTCTACTAATTATAAGTAACTTTTCAACTACGTGTCAAATAACTCTCATTAGAGTATTAGTGTATTATAGCAGACTGTCAGTTGGGTTATGGTTAGGTGTTAGGCTTTGGGTTAGGAGAATAAATTTACTTGTAGTCGCCAAGTTACTTAGTTGAATGTCTGTTGGGGGACCAACAAAATAAAGTGTTAGCAGATATTAAGCTGACAGTCAACTAATACTCTAATAACAGTTAATTGACATGGAGTTGAAAAGTTACTTATAATTAGTAGAATGTCTAAAGTGGACTATCGAAATAAAGTGTTATCCAGTTTCACTTTGTTTCGCCGGTCTGGTAGGCGTGCTCTCTAACGCTTACAAATCAGACCGCAGGAACCGCCCCAAATGCCACAATAACCAATCAGAAAAAGATTTCCATGATCGATCATCGCTGTCACGTACGAGTACTCGAGTACCCGTGCCCATCCCTATAACTTTCAGCCAGTGTTCAAGGCTGCTCAGCTTGTTTGAAATGCGCCGGACAGTCCAAATAGAATCAGTGGAAAAAAATGTCCAAACAAGCAGACCCTACTGGAGCAATGAAACAAACCGTGACGACCGGCAGCAGCCATGCCACCGATCAAAACGCTGGGATGTCAAGTGCAGAGTGTGAACACATGACCACACAAGACACAAGCACAGCAGGAAGAAAGCTCTCAGCTTTCCAGTCATGGTACAGTGCAGCAGTCAGCTGTGTACCAGCATGAACTGCCAACAACACAGACAATCATTGGGATTGAATTCAAGAATGTCCATATATTATATGTTTAGAATGAAATAGAGGAAATACAAAGACACGAAACAAAAGAGAAACAGCTTTGATATGAAGCGGCAAGAGTTGGTAAACATGGTAATTCAAGTATCCAATAGGTTTCTATAAAATCCAAGACCCCTGTGACGAAGAAGATGCAGCGTGAACAAAAACTTAGTCGATGATAATGAATGATAACAAATGTGTTTTCTCTCTGTTGCTTTGTGACTCATTTCAGAGGTTTGCCCCGTTCCCTGCAGCACCCATAGTGTGTGTGTTGCTGGACGTTGCCAATGTGAGGAGGGGTGGGAAGGGACCACTTGTGACAAACAGGCATGCCATCCAACCTGTGAAGAGCATGGAGAGTGCAGGGACGGACAATGTGTCTGTCAGCCTGGTTGGGAGGGAGAGCACTGCACTATTGGTATGTCTAAAAGAGTGTTTGTATTATATTATATCACACTATTAGATAATACTGTTCAAAAGTTTGGAATCAGTAAGATCCTTTTGATTTGTTTTTTTGTTTGTTTTATCAGAAATTAATACTTATATACAGCAAGGATGCATATATTACATTATATAATTTTATATAATCTATTACATTTATTATGAAATGTATCATAATATTTCACAATATTTGTCACAGGTGGTATCTGTTTTACCTGTGTTAGTTCTTGTGTCCTTTGTCTCTGTTCATTTGTTGTTAAAGTTTCAAGGTATGTTTTCATTTGTTTCCATGTTTACTCATTTATTAATTGATTAACTCCACCTGTTCCTTGTTTTCTCAAGTTTACACAACACTGTTTTCAACTAAAAATGGAAAACAGTTTTTGTGCTTCAGTTACATGACAACGGCGATGTGTGGGAAAACGCTGAACATTGAAAACGTAAACTTTTGAAAACGATATCTTTATCGTTTCTGTGTAAACTTCAAAAATATCCAAATTTGTGGAAGCAAATTTGTCTTTTTTGTCTTTTCTTGTCTATGTTATGTTGGTTTTGTAACTCTTGCATTTATCCCGTTCTCCTGCATATTTTTATTTATTTTGTTTGTGTTAAAGTTACTGCTGCGATTAGATTTTAACTGTATTTTGGTCATAAATTTAGCTTTGTGGAGCATAAGATTTCTTAAAAAAACTTCCAAAACCTCTCTGATCCCTTGTTACAGAGAGGTATATATGTTATATATATATAGAGATTTTTTGCTATTCACTTTAATAAATATATATATATATATATATATATATATTTTTTTTTTTTATAAAATAATACTATATAAATAATAATATATATCATGTAGTGTCTCATTTAAAATGAGTTCTTAGAAACTGCATGTATAATCATTATACAAGATTTAAAATAGGTAAGGTTGTATGTGAAATCAGTTGCTTCGCAGTCTGTGAAAACAATTCTAGTGTGTAAAATAGTTTCACAGTGCAACCCCCCCATTCTTAGGCCTTAACACCATTTTTGTAACTTGTCTTTTCAGTCTTAATATTCCCTGACATTTCGTCAACCCTTTGACAGCTGGGTGTCATATTCGATTAACACGTTAGCATAAAAAACAATCTTCATTCTGACTGGCAATCTTTTGGAATCATGCTCCAGACACTTTGTAAATATCATGTCTTCATAAATATTTGCCATTTTAACCGAATATTTGACAAGTGTCATGTATTTTTTATAAAACATGTAAATCAACTGACGCTGAACCAACATGGAGCCGTGTTTTGCCTTATAGATGATGTATAAACTAAACAGTCTCTCTCTCTTCCTCTTTTTCCTTATTTTTTCCTCCTCCAACCCACAGTTCCTTTAATTGTGGTGCTCATTATGAGAACAGTCTTTGAAACTCATGGGACAAATATACGCTTATGGCAGCAAACGACAGGGACACTTAAAAAAAAAAAATCACGCACACACAGAGCTTCTCTGAAGAATGTCTCAAATGTAATTTCTCCTCTTTGTTCTCTCCGTCTTTCATTTTGCAACTCTTTCAGCAGCACATTACCTGGATCTGTTTGATAAAGGTTAGTATTATATGTGTGATGACTGAATGAAGAAATGAAAAGATGACTTTATGATGTCTTTTACAGTATATTAGCAATCTTTGAAGAAAGAATATCAATGTTATAGGTGTTCTGTCTCTCTCTTAGATGCATGTCCTGGGTTGTGTAACGGTAATGGACGCTGTACACTGGAGCAGAGCGGTTGGCATTGTGTGTGCCAGTCGGGATGGAGTGGCCCGGGCTGTAACGTTGTCATGGAAACCGAGTGCAATGACAGTAAAGATAATGACAGCGGTAAAGACCCCTATAGGACATGAGCTTTGTGGATGGCATATAGAGAGGATCAATTATGCTTTAGGTTAACAGATACATTTTCACAAAGGTATTGTTCTAAAGCGTGATTAGTTACACTACTGTTCAAAAGTAAAAAAAAAAAAGAAGCTGATTCAGCAAGTATACATTATATTGATCAAAAGTGATATTTTTACACAAAATATATATTTTTCAGATAAATGCTGTTTCTCGTATGTCTTAGATTGCGTGTAAAGGGGTTTAAGTTAGCTTTTGGGTAAAAAACTAAATTGTGCGTAGAAATCTAAATCTGACAAAACATCCATTTAGAGATATTCTCAATGGGAAAAAAATTATAATAACAAAAAAAAAAAGCGTTAGTTTGAATCTGTAATCGTTAAGAATTAACTTTATATAAAAATAACAGAAGTCTATAAGATGTCCTCTTTAATGTATCTAAGTAAATATACAGTGTCTGTGTCTGTGAGAGAGAGAGAAAAAGAGAGGTTTCTGGGTTATTTTCTTTGAGACTTTCTCCTGTGGGAGGTTAAAAACACAGATCCCCTTTAATGGAGCTGACAAATGAGATCACGCGCACACAGACACACGCAGAGCAAGGGCAAGCTGCATCAAGGCTACATGTCTCCGCATGTAAAGTGTGTATGTGTGTTTCAGATGGCCTCGTGGACTGTGTCGACCCAGACTGTTGTAGTCAGCAGATGTGTGTGAGTGCCCCGCTGTGCCAAGGCTCGCCTGACCCACGTGACATCATTCAGCAGAGCCACGCCCCTTTCGAGGCACGCCCTTCGCGTCAGTTCTTCGACCGTGTGCGATTTCTCATTGGACGGGACAGCACACACATACTGCCAGGAGACCTGCCATTTGACAGCAGGTGATAAACACGCACTGCCAAATATTAGCTCAAATACACTTGGCCAACACACACGCACACATAATCTTATCACTGGTAAAACAGAACTTGATCATGACCTCTCCCAGATACTCAAAGATTTGTTGGTATGATTTTGACCGTATTTATTTTTTTATGATAGTTGTGTGATCCCACTCTGATTTTTTGTTTTTTTTATCCAGTTTTCAATGTGCTATAGACATCTTAGCCTAGACTTGGTTACGACTGACAGCATTGACTGGCTGTTCAAGCCACCAGCCCGCATCTGCTATGACATCCTCATTCACATGCGAAATTGAAATCAGACAGCACAAACCCAAGCCTGCCGTTGCGTGCTAATGTTGGCAATGTTTTGGCTGGAAAAGTGGAGGGAAAACAAGGTCAGAGTATCTAGAGTCAGTTGGGAGAAAGAGGTTATGGACTGCTCATTCTTCAAAGTAATTTTGGTAGTACGATCATAACTAAGGTTATTGAACGTTGAATGCTAAATGAGAAATGTGTTGTATACAGAAATACAGAAATATATTGTTCAGAAGTTAAAAAACTGTCTTCACATTAGTGTTCAATTTTGTTTTGTTTTGTTTGTCTTAGTCCTGTGTTTTTAGTTTATCGTATTTAGTCAACCTGTCCTGTTTTTCGTTTAGTATTAATTACTTGAACAAACGTCTGGGAATTTTAGTCTAGTTTTAGTCAATACAATCTTTTTTAGTCATAGTAATTATGAACTGATAATTGCAATTATTTTGGTAACAATTGTAATATTGATTACTGAGCATGATTGTTGTCATATGAGAAACTTATTTTTCATTTTATTACAATTATTGCACTTTCACCTACAGTATAAGCACAAATCAAGAGAATGTCATCTCATATATAAGTTAATACACTCTACGTTAGGCTTATAAAAACTCAGAAGATTCTCTCAAAAGCTAAGTCTAATAGTAATTCCAATTTGTTCTAAATTATCTTAATGTTTTTTCTAGTAGGACAACAACAAAAAAGACTTTGTATTGTCACACAGAGTTTGCCTAAGTGCATTTAATTCCAAAACCACAATCGTGAAACAATCTAGATTCTAGATTCATGTTTGGATATATTACAGTTCATCACTGAGAAGGTTAAATCCCAGACTTAGTCACAGAAAACAGCACAAGCAGCCACGTGAAGGAATACGGACCGGTTGTATTTTCATTTTATTTTTAGCAAAATAACGCAATGGAGATCGCTGGAGGCATGTTAAAAACTACATTTCTAAATGATTTTGTAGTTTAAATTTCAAAGTGTTTACACTTGTGTTGGAGATAAACCCATGAATGGCTTACTAATACTAGTCAGAAAACTCTGTTAAGAAAATATAGTTTAACATAAAAATCTTACATACTTCACTACAAAGTCACCATTAGTGTCTGTGTTGTCTCGACAACGTTAATTCTGCTTAATACAGATAGTACTGTTCCAAATTACTTTAGAAATCCTTACTGTTTTTGCTCTATCTCTGTTACAAATAAAATAATAAGTTTGGGATTGATTATCCCTTTGCGCCCAAAGTTGATCCTAACACCCCTGAAGGCTATCACCCCTGACTCAATGTTTGAAACAGATACATAAAATGCAATAACGAACCTTAAAATATCCAAAAACAAACATGAATATTGTTATGCAAAGACCATACATATGTCAATGCACAGATGAATGTGTTCAAGCATTTTGCATTTAGTGCGTGTGAACTTTTCCTCTGGCTCTCATATGCTGATACAATAACAGCTAGCTGCTATGAGCAGTTTGACTCACCCCAAAAATAATCTCCCAAAATGACTTTTGCTGTCATCGTCTAGTTTGAGGAAGCTTAGAATCGATTGAAGCATCTATTGTATTTTTCTCTGATGACTGAAAAGAGAGTGCTCCTCTCTCAGTTTCGATCTCCTCTGACAGATCCTTTGGTTTCTCTTGCAATGACTGCTCTCTCTCTCTCTCTCTCTCTCTCTCTCTCTCTCTCTCTCTCTCTCTCTCTCTATGTGCAGTCGAGTGTGTGTAATTCGAGGTCAGGTTTTGGCCTCTGATGGAACTCCTCTCGTTGGTGTGAATGTCACGTTTCAGCATAACCCTGAATATGGATACACACTCAGCCGACAGGACGGCAGGTAAAACACACTCTTTGTAAAGAAAGTACATGCTTGACCTTATTTGCTAGAGAAACAAACGCACAGTACAGCCATAATATCAACATTGGTAATAAATTAGCTGTTACATTCACAAATATATTAAAATAGCAAACAGTTATTTTATATTGTAATATATTTTACAATATTACTGTATTTTTAATCACATAAATACAGCATGAAGAGCATAAGAGATTGTCATATACATCATACACAATTTTTAATGGCCCCAACTTTTAATATATATATATAGCATACAATATACATCCTGGATACATACACACACTATCTTGTCTATGTACTGCATGAAATATATATAAATCCTTTTGAATGTATGTTTGTATTTTTTCCCGCTAGCTTTGATCTTCTGGCAGTGGGCGGAATCTCTGTTACTCTATTGTTCCAGCGAGCCCCATTTTTGTCCCAGATTCGTTCAGTCTGGCTTCCCTGGAACCAGTTCATGGTCCTGGACCGAGTTGTAATGGAAAGAGCTGAATCCAAACCACCTGTCTGTGACCTGAAAAACCTGATCAGTCCACACGCCGTTGTTCTCTCCGCCCCTCTCCCACGATTCGCCGCCGACTGTGAGGACAGAGGAACTGTCGTACCTGAGCTACAGGTATGAGACGAGCTTGCTCTGACAAAACACTGAATGCATTATATTATGTCATTACCTTAGTCACATCAGTTAACATCAGACCATCCTGGAATCAACTTGAATGTCGCTCAGGTCTCTTGTATGCCTCGCTGCTGTTTATATGACACATGAAACTGCTCGCTTGCAGAATAGATGGTGATAGACCTGATATTCATTGCAACCCGGTGGTGCTAGAAAAAGAAGAATGTTCCCATTACCATCAACAAGGCATATACTGTACATACTGACAGTGTAAAAAAGAGATTTCTGCAATGTAGACATGTTTTTTTTAATGATAAAGTTAGCGTTCGTTCACAAGAATCCAAATCTTAGTTGCGTGAAACTGTGTAAACTTGACACCTCTGTAGATTATAATGTAATGAAAACGTTCTAATATTGATGCACTACTCGCTTTGAGTATATAATTTACTTAAGTTGACTGATGAATAAAAAAGCAGGAAAGTAATTCAGGAACTAAATTTTGATGTGTAGCCCACAGAAACAACATAACATTCAGTCGCCAAACACAAAACAAGTATTTTTATTCTCTTATTATTAATAATCGTGATTGCAATATCAAGGGAAATCAAGGGATTTTTTTCATGTTCTTCCATCCCTTTCTGCTTAAGTGGAGCGTTTCAAATCAGTCCCTCATGAGATTTCATATTGGTTAAGATGCTGTTTTGGAAGGCAGTAGCCTATGTAGGCAGTAGACAGCGAGACAGCTCACTCAGGTTTGGAACAGAGCTTGTGTGTGTCTGTAGGCTGTAAGAACTGCAACCTGTGTTTATGGGACATTTATTTGGCAGCATTACAGTCATTGGCACGGTTTTTGTTCTGTATGGAAAGTGCACACAGTAAATAGAAATACAATTAATTTCTCTCACTGTCGCTCTGCCTAATAAATCCTTGTTCTCTCTGTCTCTCTCTCTCTCTCTGTAGGCGGTCCAAGAGGAGGTGGTTATCCCCGCTACAATTCTGAAGTTAAGCTACCTCTCGTCCAGAACTCCAGGCTATCGGTCTCTCCTGAGGGTGGTTCTGACCCACTCCACCCTCCCTCCGGGCTTGGCCAAAGTCCATCTGTCTGTGGCTGTCCAGGGTCGGCAGCTTCTGAAATCATTTCCTGCAGCTCCAAACCTCATATTTGTTTTCTCTTGGAATAAAACCGACATCTATGGACAGCAGGTCACGGGGCTGGTGCAGGCACACGGTGAGGGTCTCTGTCTGTGAGAGCTAACTTGTTGTTGTTGTTTTAAAGATGAGCTTTCATTCCGTTTTACTCTACCATTCATACAGTATGTTCAGGCCAAAAAGTCAGTTTTTAAATTATACTTTTTTTTCAGCAAGGATACATTAATTTGATCAAAATGGATGGTAAAGACAAATTTTACAAAAGTTTTTTTTATTTATCAAAGAATCCTGACTTTTTTTTTTATACTTTTACTTCAAAATATTAAGCAGCACAACTGTTCTCAACATTGAAAACAAGAAGAAATGTCTTTTGAGCACCACATCAGCATACTATAATTATTGTGTGTGACACTGAAGCCTGAAGTAATGATGCTCAAAATGCAACTTTGCAATCACAGGATTACGTTTTAAAATATATTTCAACCGAAAAGGTATTTTAAATTGTAATAATATTTCACAACATTACTGTTTTACCATATTTGTAATCATATCGATGAGCATAAAAGTCTTTAAAAAACATTAAAATCTTACCGACCCTAAACTTTTGAATGCTATTGTAAGATAAAATGATCGCACATGAAAAAAGAGTTGTGTATTGATGATTGTATGTACTTAATAAGATGCAAGAGCAACTGATTAGTCTCTTAATTGAACTGTGTATGAACAACTGTATCTAGGACTCCAAACAGAACTGATTGACAACTGTGTTTTACCTCACAATACCCCTTTTTCTGCCATTTTTCATAAGCTGAGATTGACAGATAGCTAATATTAGTGATTGACAGCAAGAAAATAACCAACAAAGCACACATACTTATGTCCTGGCTATATCAATGATGTGACAGACAGCTAGTTGTTGAGTGCGGATTCATTTAAACAGCACTCCCTGTATCAATCGAACTAGCTCTTAAAATTGTGTTGTGGCCCCTTGAAAATGTTTTTCATAACTAAATAGTGTATGAACAGGACTTTACTGTGTTTAGCACTCCAAACAGGACTGATGACTGTATCCTGCTGTTGTATGATCATAGCCCCTCTTTCTCGCTCTTTCCCCGTCCATTATTTTGAGATCCGTCACAATGACAGCAATCAGACACTGCAGAGGGTCTGAATTCGTCATCTTTTGCTCATTGAAAAGAGCATTCAGTTTTACGGCACACTTATGCACCTACGGAATAATGGCTAAAAATTAGTAATTACTGGCTATTATGGAGGAAATTAACTTCTGTTTTCAAGTTGTAATTAGAAAGAAAAATGTGAAAACATTTCATGGTCATAATAAAGAAATGTGTAAACAGCTGAATTACAGGATGCTACATTAATATATCTTTGAATTTGTGTAGTGCTTGTAACGTTTTGCCAGTAACATTTTATTAAAAGGTAGAAAGACATAAAAATCCTCATGACTCCGGATCTCTGCCCTTTAAACAGGCAAATATAATTAGTGGTTAATAATTATTATTTATCCTCTTAAACGTGTTAATGTTGGCTACAGCTCAAGCGTTGCTACTTTAAAGAGCCCGTCTATTTAAGTTCAATCTAACACCATGGCAACACAAATGTAACTGAACCAAATATAACATGTTCCACATGTACTGTAGCTACCTGCTGCTTGTTTATCTCCGAGGATGGGTTCAGCTCTTTAAACATTTTAATTCTATGTTATGACACATTTATGTAGAGTAAGGTATATGTAAATGTTATTCCGTTAATACTCTCTAATTGATAATTAGTATCAAGGTTTTATATATTAGCTCATATTAGTCTAATTAATCTTGTAAAATGGTATTAATGGGTAATTTATGCATTAAAATTCTGAAGTTTCACTTTCAAATGAAAAATTACCAATGAAAGTGTGTGAGTAGGTACATTTTTTTCTTTTGATGATGGTGATCCTCTTTTTGATTTTGATAATGATTGGTGATATTTAATGGACTAAGTCTGGCACTTACGTGTGTGTGTGTATGTGTGTGTTGGTATTAATGACAGTCTCTGTTGGATACGAGTATGAATCGTGTCTGGACGTCGTGCTCTGGGAGAAGAGAGTTGCTCAGCTGCAGGGCTTTGAGCTGATGCCATCCAACCTGGGCGGATGGACACTGAACCAACACCACGTCCTAAACCTGGAGAGTGGTGAGTGATTATCACATGCACACACACATGCGCATGGGTGTTTTCTTCAACTTTGGATGGTTTTGGCCCTTTAGACTTTTAGAAATTAAAACAAACTTTTCAAAATCATTAGTTTATTCACTTTGCCTGCTAAAATGTGCAACAGTGGATATATTGTATAACAGGAGAATTGTGGCATATTTACTGTATGTTTTTGCCTAGCCTGCGTCTCCCCATGCTGCCTTGCCGTAGTATGATTTTATTCACGCTGCTATGCAGTCTGGACACCATGAACCAAATTTTCCCCTGAAATATGGGAACCAATCACAGAACGGGAGCACAGGCACATTTGATAGAAGTACAGGCACATTTGATAGACATTCGTAGCACCCAATAATACGGCTCTGGGCATTTGTAAACCACACCTCAAATACGAGAAAATGAACATGTGGTTTCCAGACCACGTCTCATTCTCAATGAAACGTGGTCTGGCGTTAGCCAGGCTAGTTTTTGCCCTTAAAGTTCTCTCAAATCTCAAATCACCATTCATTTTGTGGTGGAAATGAAGAAAATGACATTTTAATTAAAAAAATTAAATAAAATTGCTTTTCTGGATAGATTTCTCTGGTATAACAAAAGTACAGCTTAATTCAAAATGATATGGAATAAAAATATTTTATTGTTCACATCTTATATTTCATCTCAGTTATGCTTTTCACCTGCACAGTTGTCTCATTTGTAACCAAATACACACATTTTTGATGAAATGTTATGTGCAAGAACATTCGTGTGTGGAAATGCAACTGTGGAATAGTTTTGTGTAAAAGCAATTTTCCCCCAATAAATGTTTAGTTCACTGTATTTTGGTATTTGAAGAATTGTTTTATGATGGATTTAAAGAATTCATGACAGCAAAATGGTAAAACATTTCCAACACAGTTTTAAAATTATATATATATATATATATATACAGTATATATATATATATAACATCCTCCTGATTCATATATTTTGCTAGTTTCTGAGAGCTCCCTAGATGGCAGTTTGTATCATTCCTTTCTTTAGCTTGTTTCTACGTGGTCTTTTAACACTAATACATTTCATCCTTCAATCTAATGCTCTCTATTTTTTTTTTTTTATCTTCTGCAGGTATTCTTCATAAAGGAAATGGAGAGAATGTCTATATTTCCCAGCAGCCTTTGGTCATCTCCACAGTGATGGGGACAGGGGCGGTCCGTGCCATCCCATGCCCAAACTGCAACGGCCCAGCTGTGGAGCAGAAACTGTTTGCCCCTATCGCTCTGGCCTGCGGCTCGGATGGAAGTGTGTATGTTGGTGATTTTAACTACATCCGCAGGATTCTGCCCAACGGATTCTCCATCAGCATCTTGGAGCTCAGGTCTACCATCTTAAATCAGCTTCTCAAAAGTGTTTAAATGTTTGTTTTTTTCTTATTTTTTATTGCATAAGGAACTGTTGTATGCAATCTCTATAGTTTTAAACTAATAGTTTTATTTGATGGATGAATATAAAGTGTTTAATAAATTGTTATTTTACTAATAGGGATACTGTTTATTTATTTAATTTCATATTTATTTATTTATTTGATTTTCATTTTGTGAGGTTTTATTTCAGCTGTTTTTATTCTTGTTTATTAATACAAAGATTCCTGCTATTGAAATATTTAATTACATCAAATCAAACACTAATAAATGTTTTGTCAAATAACCTACAAAATAAGCGTTGCATAGTGACATCTAAATTGAACTGTTTTATAAAAGTTATTTAATGATTGGATTATGTAAAAACAAATGTATATAGCTTATACAAGTTTTCATAATTGTAAAAACAAAAATTATCTGAGGAATGTCTGTTCTCAATGTTGACTTCAGTTTTAACTATTCACATTTCTTTCCATGTTATGCGTCCAGAAATCGTGACATTAGACACAGGTATGTTTTCTTTTCAGAACAGTTATCACTATATAGTCTTTCAGTCATTAATACACTGTACTTGTGCTTGAATTCATTATTTTTATTTTGAATCTCCATTCATCCATGCATCAACCTTGGAGGAACTAGAGGTTAAGTGATTCAAGTCTCAAATGCAGAACAACAATTTTAGAGGCAGCAGCCCCTATAGTAAGTCAGCAGAATCAAATGCTCAGAATTGGGTCTTGTCCCATGAAAAAGTCTTTAAATAAAGTTGTAAATCTATTTAGTAAATTGTTACTTTGTAAATTGCTGTTTCTCATCAAGGTCATAGCACACCACCGCTCTGAACATAAATATGCATAATGATAAAAATACTATAACAGCAAAACTTGTGAGGGACACTGCCCTGAAGAATTTTGATCTAACCCTAATAAACAAGCTAATTGATGTATTCGGGATTACTAGATAGATACATGCAGGTCAGCTTTTATCAGGGTTGGAGCTAAACTCTGCAGGACAGTGGCCCTCCAGGACCGAAGTTGACTGTCCCTCCCACAAAACTTCAGTCAATACATCACATTAATCCTGAGCTTTAATGACTAGAGCCTTTTCCTTATTTTTCCCTTTTCTTCTTTTTTCCCCTTTTTAAATTTTTATTTATTTAAAGTTAACATTTCATTTAGCTTATAATGAGGGCCATCTTTTATTATTACATTTTTGCATGTTTGTAATTGTATTCATCTGAGTGTATTTTTGTGTGTGTACTGTATTTGTGCTACAGCGGACATGTTTTTGTGTGGGCGTGTGTGTTATGAAGCCACACAGTGGCTACTGTTGCTTGTAATCTTCAGTGTGTGGTAAGAAATCCATCTGTGGCGTTTTTCTGGTCGATGGATTGAACACTAACAGCTTTTCTCTGCAAACCGCTGCCAGCGTCACACCACAGTCTCCTGCTTATCGTCTAGATCCTCCTCGTTTCATGTGAATTTAGAAACGGCGCCCCCCACAGAGAGGGAGTTAGAGTGTGGGATAGACCTCTGCCCCACAGACTAACACTGACAAGCGAACTGTAATCCTTTATCTTTGCGTGCGCGCGTGTGTTTGCTCACAGTATTACATCCCACAGCAAGGGGGAAATCCTACCTTCAGACGTCTTTTTGGAGATAGCGCTTCTGATCAAACCAGAGTCTGATTCTTCCTCGCAAAGACTCAAAAGAACCTTATAGTATTAACATTTTCAATTTCAGTAAACAGGCAGTTTGAGGGGGGTGGCTTTTGCCCCTTATCATACCAAAAACAGCTTGCAGAAAAATATGAATCTCTTTTACCATTTCAATATTGATGTCAATTTTGTTAATTGCTTTGTGAAGTAATTTACATTTGTGACACCATTATCAAAAGTGACTCTCACTGCATTAAAAGTGTTCACTTTAAAAGTCTGTGTATTCCCAGAGAAGTGAACCTATGGCACTTAAGCTACAGAATATTCTTACCCTTTATTATAACAAAAGCAGCTTTGAAAGACATTGTGTCTTTTAACCATTTCAGTTTAGATGTAGATTTGGTTAATGGCTTTGTGAAGTGACTATTAACATTCATGAATGTTTTTGAAAGTGTCCAACAGTAAAGGCGTTTGCCCAGATTTACAGTCTGGACAAGTTGACGCTAGTTGCCAAATGTCAGAGCCAGTCTGCAGATTTCGGTTGACCGATATCTCAGAAAATCATGTTGTATATGATGATTACAGACTCAGATTTTTTTAGCCTCGAAGTTTGATTCCATCCAGTAGGAGGATATCAAACCTTTTTGATATTTTGAGACGATTTTAGAACACAAATTGTTTTCATTTGTCACATGTCTCCTAGCAACAAGGTTTAGGTGTGAGTTTGTTTAGTTCGTAATGACTTCTTGGTAAGTCTGGTAGTGTGTGATCCTCAGTCGTTTAGTATACGATGCCCAGTTTTTCCTCAAAAGTCGGCAAGTGTTTGATACCTATCGTGTTTTAAAATTTGTTCCGATTTTTAATGTCGTGTCGTGTCTTCCAGTCTTAAAGGGGTCCTATTATGTTTTTTTCACTTTTTCAACTTTAGTTAGTGTGTAATGTTGCTGTTTGAGCATAAAAGAGATCTGAAGGATACAAAGCTCAAAGTCCACTCCATAGGGAGTATTTTATTCAGCAGAATCCTCTTTCCAAGAACTATTGAACATCTCATTTGGACTACAACGTGTTTTTTACCCAGATTTGTGAAGTCACAATGTTACTCATTTGAATATTCCCAGCCCACGGAATGCTGAAAAAGGGGGACATGGCCTGGTTGAGCTGCATTAGAGAAGAGTGTTGTCGCTATGTCAAAGAGACACTGTTTGTTCTACCCTTTTCCAAAACTCATTTGTTTGACCTTCCTAAGGCCGATTTGAAACACTGTTCCTGAACATTACAACCCCAACATGCACATTTCAGAACCAGAAAGAGAATACAATGTAGGCTACGCACAAAAGCTTCTCCTGAAATGGAGCAGATCTTTGTCGGGACAATCTGTTGTTGGTGGATCACAATTTTTAAGTATTCTTTTAGTATTAAGTATCTTATTATTATAAATTGTAGTTGCGTTTACTAATAACAAGTCCAATTATAGTTATGTTTTATGTTGTTGTTACGATGTAGCCTCTGCTAGCCAACATTTATGTTGATATAGTGTTTACTGTGGTTTTTATAACCTCTCACTTTTGAAAGACTGTTCATCGCCCCTTACCAAAATTAATCATGGTTTTGGTCATGATTAAATAGTGTATAACATTGTATCTAAGATGTATTTAAAAAAAAGCAACATATCACTCATGATCCTCTTGTTTGTTCCCATTCGGTAACACTTTATAATAACTGCACGCTATTAATCATTAGTTAAGCATGAGTAAACAGTTAATACATCATTTATAAAACATTAATAGACATTAATATGCAGTTCATAAATATAGCTATACATGCTTTTTTCTTGATTTATAAGCATATCTATAATGCGTTTAATGATTGTATTTTCATACTTTGTTAATGATCAATTAATAATTTCTAAATGAAGTATAACATTATTTGCAAACCAGTTGTTTAAGAGTTGTCAGTCATGTATAAGACCACTTAGAAAGTGTAAGTAAATGTAGTAAATACAGGTAGTTATAAAGCATTTATTAGTGGTCAGTTAACTATTTTTGTGAGCTAATCTAAAGTGAGGACTATTCATGCTTTGTAAAGCATTTATAAAGGCGATTTAAAGACTCGTCAATCTTCTAAACAGTAAAATGTAACAAACACAACACAGTGATACAGAACATAGAAATATTTAACAGCCTTTAAAAATGCTTTACAAGGCATGACTAGTCCTCACTTTAGATTAGGTCACAAAAATAGTTAACTGACCACTACTAAATGCTTTATAACTACCCAAATTAATCCTTAATTACAGCATTAATACATGTTAATAAAGCATTTATTAACACATTAAGTAACCATCACTATATGTCTGAATAATAAGATGTATGAATGTACATTTAAATAGTTTATTAATCATTTACTTGCTCGCTCTAAGTAATCGTATGAACCACGGACTACTCTTAAATAACTGGTTTATAAAAAATGCAATTCTTCATTTAGAAATGATAAATTGATCATTAATAAAGGATGAAAATACAATTATTAAACAAATTATAGATATGCTTTTAAATCAAGAAGAAAGCATTTATAGCTGTATTTATGAACTGCTTATTAATGTCTATTAATGCTTTATGAATGATGAATTAATGGTTTACTCATGCTTAACTAATGATTATTAGCGTGTAGTTATTATAAAGTGTTACCAACATTCTTAAGTCTGAATCCGGCTTGAACTGGTTTGAAATTGACGCCATCCTTAATATTTACATCTGACTAGGCACATTTCGTATTTCAGAATAATGGACTTAATCGGAACAGGAAATAAACAGTGCGTTCGATCTAGACTGTGGAGAGAGGTTCTGTTTTTTTGAACAATCAAGCATGAAAGCATATTCTAGTACTCCCTAAAAACTAAATCAAGACTTTGTAAAAGGACCCCATAAGTGTCAAATTTATCGGTATGTGCATTCCCAAGAAACTGAACCCCATGACCTTGTGAGTTTTTAGCAGCTTAGCAACAGGAACTACTCCCCTTTACCCTGACCTCATAGCCCCTACACAGTTCTAAGCACTCTGCTGTCCTTAAACCCAAAAGAGTGAATCGACTCCCCTTAAATGTCAGAGCAGCAGAGTGCCTCATAATCTACCCGTACCAAACTCACCACAACTCAGACACCACAGGTGATGTTCCATCCAGAGGACGTGTTGCGCTTTGTCATGGGGTGCACAATCCAAATAACATATTTCTGTTAACAAAAGACACAAAAGACCTCATCAATTTTTGTGGGGGACAATGTTTCGCTCCTTTAGGAAAATCTTTTTTTTGTTTGTTTGTTTTTTCATTTCCTCCCCTTCACTCTGCCAAAGGAATAGATGATAAAGAGGCAGCAGGTTGATTTGCTCTCAGGGCAGAACCGGATGGAGGGAAAGGAAAGGAAGATTATAGGCTCGCAGGGGTCCGACACACTGTAGGGGCTGAGAGTTTTGATCAGGGCTTGAGTTCAGAATGATTGCAATTTCGGCAAGGCGCTGAGACCTGGAGGGGTGTTTTACTCTAACCTTGTGTGAGCATGCCTCTGTGTGTGGTTGTGTTTCGGTATGGATTTCGACTTTTGAAATAGTTTCCGCATAAGTACATTGCCAATATGTGTGTAGCCCTGCTTTGTCATAAAGCCTTGTTTAAATTCTCTTCCTTCAGCTCCAGTCCGGCTCATAAGTACTACTTGTCTATGGATCCTGTGCACGAGTCTCTCTATCTGTCGGACACAAGCAGCGGGAAGCTGTACCGGCTGAAGACTCTGACTGAACCGAAAGATCTCAGCAGGAACGTGGAGGTGGTGGCTGGCAGCGGGGAGCAGTGCACACCCTTCCACCCAAACCAGTGCGGCGATGGAGGCAAGGCCACTGAAGCAGCGCTCAGTAACCCCAGGGGTGAGAATCTTACCGCACACACATGCTGCGCTTCTGAATTCAAAAAGAAAGAGCGAGTGAGCAAGGCGTAGTTGTAAGTTGAAGAAGGTGAGAGACAAATATAGGCTTATTTCAGTGAGGGAAATGGGAAAACTGTAAAAGTAAGATAAATGAAAGATGCCTTCCTTCTTTGTTAAATCAGTCGGAGCGACTATTAGTCCCGCCTATCCATCACTGCCACTGTCTCTTTAAAGCCGTCAGTCAGCCTGATGGACAGACAGGGGCGTGGCTAACGGGCACGTATGTTCTCTTATCCTTCAAGCCTCATTGTGCACTCTCTCTCACACAGTAACTCGCTCACTCAACTGTCGCAGTTAAAAGCCTCCACTTACTTGTAAGCCCCTGAGGATAGAATTCATAAAGAATCCCAGAGCAGGGATGATATGTATGTGTGTGTGCCCACTTTGATTTCGGACTGTTCTGAAAAGAACCGTGTTTCAGATCAAACTGTAAATCACATTTAAAACTGATTTAAGCCTTTTTACACTCACTTCAACGATCCACATGCATTTGCTTCCGGCATAGCTATGGATAAAAGCCTTCCGTTGTGCGTCTTGGGGTAGAGTACCCATTTTTCCCTTTGTTAAAGTGTTTTTACTGAAGTCTATTATCTGTAACAGGCTCTGACCAAAATGCTGAGAGCTTCAATAACTGCAATCTGACCTTCTATATATGTTCTCAGTCTGTAAGGGGGTCCACACAAATAGACTGCAACCAAAGCGTTAGCAATTCAGCGTCACGATTTTTTTTCCCTCTGTTTAATTCTGCTAAACTGACCCGTATCGCTGATATGTGTCACTATACATACCAGTCTTGACAGTTCTGTATGGTGATGTGTGGCTTGACTTTGGCTTGTTGTTGATTCAATTAATCTCAATATACAGAATGTTTTTTATAATCAATATCTCTTTATACACATAGAAACTCAGAGTGATGCAGTATTGATCTCTGCACCATGGCAGCATCTTCCGTGACTATGATCTCTTTAGTCCTGCAAAAAGGATAGTCTTCGGCTAGTTTCAACTACCGAAGGCCCGGGGCTTCATGCTGGGAGCCAGTAAACAAGTCAAAATGAAATCAAAATTATGCTTATAAAAAGCCCTGTTTATTTTGAAAATATGATTTTTTTATTTTTAAGAGATTTGACGGAAAATTACAGGAAAATTTACTGGCAGGGATTGACATTTTCAGCATCTGTAAATAATGATTTTTGAGCGTTTTTGGACTGCAAAAAAACACAGATTTTGCCCCCTGCTGTATTTGTTGCTCTAAGATCAAGATGTGGTTCGGGCATCACACTAAAGCAGTGGTTCTCAACCTTTTTGAGTCCATAACCCCCCATTGCTTACAACAATTTCTGAAGACTATTCCTTTTTTGTGTGATTTACTGGATATGGTTGTGTAAAAAAAAAATATTTTTTTATATAAAGATTTACTCACAATTTCAATAACCTGATCAAATATTTTAGAGCTTGACATAAATAGAAAAATGTAAATGCATTATAAACCTGAAATATTTCTACAACTGTCCAAGGAGTTATATAAGATTTATTCATTTATATGGCTTTTCCAAGTCTAGAAATCAATCTAATAAAAATGAAGCTACCTCATATATCCACTTTTTCTTGAGGGTGTGAATTAAAATGAGAAAAATCTTGATTTTTAATTGTTTAGGTTTTTTTTCAGTGTGTTATTTTAAATAACTACATTTGTTGAGTCTTATTTTAAATAAGCCATCCTGGTTTAGAACTGCCCAAAGGTGTCATATTCAGATTTTTCAAATCAAAGCCGCAGACGCTTAATACACAATCATCTTCATTAATAGTAACGAAATGAAAGGATCTTATTGTGCTTTTGCCGCTCTCTCTTCTTTCGGTATTTGATTTTGAAATTAGCTGATGATCAATAAAATGCAGCTCATATCTGTTGCTTTCAGTGACGTGAACTTCATTGAAGATCGGATTTATACCCGTATTGCAAAACACATTTATGTGACCAGGTTTAAATCGTAGCTCCCTGTGGGATATGGTGTCTGGTCTGATGCCAGCCGAACGTTTAAGAGAAATAGAGAGAGAGAAAGACTAGAAGCGAACAGAAAGATGTGCTCCATTCAATCTGAGTCCAGCAGCTGTGGAGAGAAGCGCTCCTGAAGTCTAAATTATTGTGATCTGCTTTTGAATTTTAATATACTGTATGTGTGTGATGCTGAGTTTCTCCTCTGATCATTTTCAGTCTAACCAGCATTTGGCATTTTAGAAGATGATTAAGAAAGTGAGCTTCTGGACCTGTGGGTTTCTGTGTCTTCAGGACCCTTTGAAGGGCAGAGGGAGGTATACCCCTCCGAAGGCAGAATAAATAATTAAGCTCGTTATGCTCGTTAAGTGGGTAATATGCCTCGTAATTGGCACCCATAACAAGATGCATTTATAAGAAGGCTTATTGAGGCAGATGGAATTTCAGCAACAAGGGTAGTGCATGTGAGGGTGTGTTTGTGAATTTGCATCTGGTTTACAGCACAACATGATCTGTATTGTTTGTTGCACAAGAAAAGAGAGAGAGAATCTTAACGAATACTCATTTAAAGCTGCTCATCATAACCAAATAGTAGATCAAAAAGTTAAAGAACTGTGTACCATTTTAGGATAGCCAACAAAAATAGGTGAAACTGGGGATAAAGCGTATTTACTCAAGTAAATATAGCTCAGAATTGATTTTGAAAGTCAGTTTCTCTATAGGGACACAGATCAAAGTCTTGACCACAAAAAAAAAATAATAATAATAATTGAGCATTTCCACTAGCCTGGTAAAAACCAGACCATTTTCAGTTGTAACTGAGTTATGGTCTGGCAAAGCTTCATAGATAAATCATTTCCAATGGGGCGTCACCAACGGACGTAGCTCAAATGCCTCTAATGACAACTAATGCCGAGTTCAGACTTCATGATTTTCAAAGTAGTCCGGTCGCTGTTCTTTTCACACTGCTTGACTATCTTGGCCACCATTCAGTCGCTGCTGTGTTCACACTGCACGATGGATCGACGACAGAAGATTTCACACTGCATGACTTTACAATAGGAAGAATCGCCGACAACTTTGTCTAGCACGCAAATGTTTCAAAACAAACACACGGGAGATATGACAAGGAAACAACGCGACATCACACGTGCAAGAATGGAGTTCTCACATGAGACTTTTTTTCTATCCGGTTGTGGTACAGCTCAGATGAAACATCAAACAGACACGGGTGCTCGTGCCAAATTTCTACAAATTTTCCTTCAATTTCTTGGGTCCAAATAGATAGAGAAGAAGCCTTTTTCTGAAACAATGCCATGCTTGTTGATATGTATGTGATCTATAACTCCTACCCGAACTCCCCGCTGCTCTGTATCTTGCTCTCTCATTGGCTGTCGGTAATCGCCGATGTTGTTTTCAGTCAGAACACACAGCAGGATTTTGAATTGCCGACAGGTCCAGATATTTAGCATGCCAAATATCTCACAGGCGTCGGCGACTCGTCAGCGATTGCTCATTCACACTGCGTGATTTTCACTCGCGTGAACGAACACCGATTTGCCTGTGATTTCGGGCATTTGTTGGCGATTTACCTGTCGATGTACCTGTCGGCGAGCCAAAATCATGGCTAAAATCACGCATCTCTTTTACCTGGTATTCATATAGAACATTATACATTTCTATTATTCAAATCTGTTAAATGATTATTAGGCTGCACTGATTAGGTCAGCCGGAACCAAGGACACGTCCTATAACACATCCGAGTGTATTGGGTTAGCTGCACACTGTGATTGGCTCATCGCGTTTGGGGGCGTAGCTTAGCCATAGGTCAATTACTATATATGCCAGAGGTCACACACCTCTGGAGCAACTAGGGGTTAAGTGTCTTGCTCAGGGACACATTGGTGTCTCGCAGTGGATTCGAACCCAGGTCTCTCACAACAACGGCATGTGTCTTATCCTCTGTGCCATCACCATCCTTCATACAATTCATAAAGCAATATCATAATATTATTTTGGCCAACAAAAACTATAATTAAATATTCAACAGAGCAAACATGACAACTATTGTACATGCCCTTACAAATGTGGTAAATAATAATTATAACATACATTTTTAAAATTATAATATACTAAGGCATAATTATGAAATACAATAGTTAAATATATGACAGATCAAATTGAGATGTCATAATGATGACACAAGTCAAAATTATGGTAAAGTTAAAAATATGACATGAAAATATGAAATATATTTTACTTTTTATTTAATAGTTAGTGCTTGTGTTGTGACAACTAGGTGTTTCTGTCCTATATAGCAGTGAGTCCTATATAGCAGTGAAACAGTTAAAATAGATTGGTTTATATCACATACAGATTTTGGAATTATGCAGATTCCAGTGCTTATTTTAACCAGTGGCCTGCAGCACCTCATATCTCTCTCTCTCTCTCTCTCTCTCTCTCTCTCTCTCTCTCTCTCTCTCTCTCTCTCTCTCTCTCTCTCTCTCTCTCTCTCTCTCTCTCTCTCTCTCTCTCTCTCTCTCTAATTTGAATTCATTAATGAAACAGAAACAGTTATCATTCTGGAAGTTTGCTGTAGATTGGACTTGTTAAATGTCAAGTCACCTTTATTTATATAGGGCTTTTTACAATACAGATTGTATCAAAGCAGCTTCACAGTGATAACAAGAAAATTAATTAAAAGTTTGTTTCCAGATGAAAATTGGTATGAAGACGAGTTTGTTGAGGATCAGTACCGATGGCTGTCGCATCAATGAGGCCTTCACAGGCGATCTGGATATGGCCCAGATCCATCTGACTTCAGCAAACCTTTGAATAAACAGAAAGACTAACATTAGCATAAATTACATTCTTCTTATGATGTAACAAGTACATTGGGTGTTATAGGACGTGTCCTTGGTTCCGGCTGACCTAATCAATGCAGCCTTATAATCATTTAACAAATCTGAATAATAGAAATGTATAATGTTCTTTATGAATGCCAGGTAAAAGAGATGCATTTTTAGTAAAAGAGACACTTCCCGGTCCTGTTCCAAAGTTTTGGTGCTAAATAGAAGGATCTGGCCAGAATTTTGAGATTGCAGTAGACGTGAAGGACTATAATGCGTTAAGAGCTCGCTCAAGTACTGGGGAGCTAAACAATTTAGTGCTTTGTAAGTAGTGACCAAAATCTTTAAATGTATTCTGTATGATATTTAATAGGGATCCAATGCAGTGTTGACAGAACGGGGCTAATACGGTCATACTTTCTGGTTCTAGTGAGAACTCTTGCTGCTGCGTCTTGGACCAAATGGACTTTGTTTATTAAGCATGGAGAATTGTTTTACCGGTACATTAGTGAAACTGTGTTTTTGGTTATAAAAACTGCTGCTTTAATTTTTGGTAGTCTTACATCATGCATACGTTCTTTCCTCTGAAATATAAGTCAAAATATTATTTAACATGATTGAGTCAGCCTGACTACATTAGTTTAAGTTTAAGTCAAGTTAAGGATCATGGTATGTTGAAATAAGCTCCTCAAGGGAGAGCAACTGGACATTTTACAGTGTGGGCTAGGAAAGAAACAGACAATGCAACTAATGAAGTACTGCTCTGTGTCAGCTATTATAGGCAGTTTGTCCATATGGAGAAGGCGCTGTTACCACTATCCATACTAATATGTGTGAGCTGTCATTTTACTGGAGCTCTGTTGAAATGTGGGCAGATTTTCCTGCTATAAAATTACTCCAAAAATATGTGGTTCCTGTTAGTATTATGCCATGTTTAATATTATCTGATTAAATTGCGAATCCAAATAAAGTGTGTGTGTGTAAGTGAGTGACACACAGAAAGACTTGATCTCTCCCAGAGTAATCAACATGGTGAGAACAGACCAATATGTCTGCTTATCTCTATGATTCTCATTAGAGAGAGAGGCAGAGAATAAAGAGAGCAAATTAGAGATGGGAAAGGAAAGCCGCAAACATGCACACATACACACAGTGCTATTTGCCATAACAAACTCTGATGTGTGCGAGAGAGAAAATACAACAAAAAAAAATCGGTAATAGACATGCAGCAAAAAAAAATCATAACCTCTGTGCTTATTTGTGTGGAGGTGTTACTAACAGCAAACGGTTCGACCTTACATCTTTTACTAATTCATGGTGACCAAACTGAACTGTATACAACCAGAGGAGACTACTGCATAATACTGTATCCCAACGTGAAATTCACTGACCTTCAGTTTCAGTGTGGTAAATTAGCTAGGTTATCAGCAGTGATTCTTATTACATGTTTCTTCATCATGATCAAGATTTAATATTTAATATTATATGACATAATATTTTGACATATTAATTGAAAAAAAGAATAGTTTACTGTTACCTACTCTTTTTTTTTACAAAAAGGTTCACTTCCTTTACATGTATTCTAAACAAAGGATACTTAAGATACATTTTTTAAATGAATACACCTTTTATAAATGAATAGTTGTTTCATAAATTGAATATAAAATAATAATAATTTTGAGTTGAGAAATTGTCTATTACAATGTTGTTGTTTTTTTTATTTGAAATAGACATTCATAATTCCCTTCATAATTGTGCCTATTTGAACGATATACAGTACATCTATTTTTTATGTTGGTTCTTGCCATATTTTTTAAAATCTCTCATGTGCAATTTTGAAATAAATCAAATCACCAACTTTTAGAGTATATCATAATCATTTATGATAATTTGTTGATTGGTTTGTAATAGTCAAATCGATTTGCAATCACCAAAGCTATTTTCTTGACTCATTATTTGATAAGGCTGGCAAATGTTAAAGCTCCAGTCCGGACTTCAGCGGGAGATCCGAGCATGTCTTTGAGTCATTACGTCACATCTGTCCACATAAAGAAGGAGTCACGGCTAATAGGCTATATTGAGCGTGAGGATGTTGGAGGTGGAGATTTATAGCCTTTTCTCACAGCACTTGATATAATTAAACTTATTCATTTGATGGCGGATCCAGAAAGGTTCAAACGACAATCACCAGTGACAACAGATTCAGCCGCTGTAAAACGCAAAAGACTTCAGACTGGCTACAGAAAAGAAGAGACTGCAACCGGCCCATGCGGAAACAAGGATAAATATGAAGGGCATTAAATGTAGTCACGCAATGTTGATGTTGTTAACATTTACAATTTGAGAACAAAGAATAATTTGCATGGTGTGCCGTGATATGATAAGCGATTGTTAGATTTAATCAGCGTGATTTACTGCAATGCTTTTTTTTCCCCTTAGTTGTTCAGAACAAAAGTGGATGCTACTTACTTGTTCAGAGGACATTTTATGTGAAAATTCTTATGTTGGTCATACTTCCAATTAGTAGAATCTGTAATTCTGAATGCCAGTATCCACACCGGCACGGTGACTGACAGCCATGCATTCTCCTCAAAACATTGGATTGATCCGCGCCGTGCCGAGTCACAACCCATGTAAAGTTGATAGTTCCGCGAATAACTGCAGTTGTAGATTTCAAACATACTGTAGATGGCGACAAAGAGGAAAAACTACGGGCTGCAGCTTTAAGACAAAAAAATATATATTTTCAGTACATATATTCAGAGCATAGTTTGCGCCTTACAAACCATATGCTATAAAAGATCCGTGGAACAGACGTCTCTAAAGAAACAATAATATTAAAGAACAATGAAGTCTTTGACAGCAATGAGGGTGGTGATTGTTTCATGATGTTAGTGGCCTGGAGGTGTATTTGTGCTAAAGATCAGTTTTAATTAAACTGTAACAATGCATGTTTGTGCACAGCACGATTTAAATGTAAAACCAAGTTACCTTGCACTGCTCAAGGTGATTTGAAAGCATTTGAATAGAACAAGACAAATGAAAAAGAGAAATTGGATGAACAATGAGAAGAAAAACCCGATTTTTTGCATATCTGATGTCATTTCGCATAAATCTGCATATATAAGACAATTTGCATATATTTAAGATTCTGTGAACAGAATGATCAGACACAGAGGAATATACTGCCTGAGACAGTGAAACTTGTCTTTCTTCAGTGCACAATTCTTCATCATTGGCAATGCAAATGTAACATTATTTGTTACGCCAATAAAGCACAATAAAACTGAAAGAGACTGAGAGAAATGACTGTGTGTATCCTGTTGTCCTGCAGGTATCGCAGTGGACAAACGCGGGTTAATTTACTTTGTTGATGGATCAACGATCCGTAAGATTGATGACAACGGAGTGATAACAACCGTCATTGGGTCAAATGGACTCACCTCCTCTCAGCCAATCAGCTGCGACTCTCGAATGGACATCAGCCAGGTGAACAAAACACACACTTACAAATTTACATACGGTGGGTCTAAAGAAGTGTTTAGAATAAATCACACATAATGTATGAATGTCACTGCATTAGAAACTAAATATCAAGCCTAGTGTTTTCTGCAAACAAATGATGCTTGACCTTTTCTCGGAGCTAACTTCATTTCTCTTTGATATTTTTGCAATTACTTTTAATCAACTGCTCCCAAGGTGATTTTATAGTGAATGTATGAAGCAAATAGCAGATTTCAAATACATACTGTCACGGTTGTGATGCGGGTTGAAGACAAAACTTTCAAACTTTCACTTAATATTCAAAAACAACAAACAGTTTCAGGCAGGTTGACGGGCAAAACACTAACGTTAACAAGAACCGACAAGTGTCCCAATTTGCCTACTTATACTACGCCCTAAAAGTATGTACTCTTTTTGGGAAGAAAAAGTACATCATTTTGAGTGTGTAGCAAAAGAGTAGGCAAGCTTTGGGACATACTACTGCGTCATCTTTATGTTCCTATCGCCATAAACTGCCCTGTCAATCATCTCGTCACAGTTAAAATCCTCCATTTAATCTAATTTAATTTCTTACCGTTTCGGAGAGAAATGTTGTCACACGTTCACCTGCCAGTCGTGGGTCTTTCATGCGGAGAATGCAATTTGATGCATTTAAAAGTTAATGTCTAACGTATCTTCACAAAAGTATACGATGCAATACAATAATGTAGCCAACATTGAATAAATACATTTTTATCAGGTTAGATACTGATAATTAATCACTCAAACCCCTTTATCTAAACCTCTCTACACAACTGCCGGACTCGCTTGTCCTCCATGTCTGTAGTTTAACACTTTTTTTACTCGTGTTTGGCATCGTGTCGCTTGGTCGCGTGTAGTGTGAACGCAGCTTAACACTGTGGTGCTGTATATTGTTGATTCACTGAAAAGAAACATCATTTGTTTGTGAATCGGGCTACAGTGATCGTGTTGTATGTCTTATCTTTGCATGAAACACACAAGGAAAACTCAATAGAAATATGCTTCCTGCTGTTATTTATACAGTGTTTTTGTTGCATCACATTCAAAACAGACTGTGCATTCATGTTCATTTCAAGTCAGGTTAGACATGATTTCTTTTGCCGTGCTGCAGATTCGTAGCCTGGTTCAACCAGACTCTAGTTCATTTCATTTCCACATAGAGTCTGGAACCGCTCCATTGAGAAACGTTTCCTTCCTTGTAGGCGGGTTCACTATTAAAGTTCAAATCTATTGGATCTGCCCAAAGTCACTCACGATCTGCCATAGCCAATCGCTAACGGGGTGTCGTGAGTGACGTATGTCACGCGCCGAAATGGCTGGAAACAACAAGTCCGAATGATCAGAGGATTATGTTTACAATAGGATTTCAGTCAACGAGCGCCGCAGGTTTTGTTAATCTAGGAACAATTATTAATTCGAAATGTATATTTGACACGAAGGACAGTGATATATTCATTCAACGGTGGAAGCTGTGTCTAATCGTTACAAATACGCCACTGTGGTCGTTTTCTGATCTGCCGCAAATGCTGTAGCAGCTACAGTGAATGATCAGTCTGTCTCTATCTGCAGATGTGTAATAAACAACAATTTTTCATATTACGTCTTATTGTTTCTTAATTACCTTAATTATGGTCTTCAAAGTATGTGTTTGTACATTTTTATGTGGCATTTAGTCAAATATCTTCAAAGTATGGTTCTTGACATTTTTATTTATGACAATTATTTTTTAAAAATCACAACCAATTTGTATGATTTACAACATGTAAAACTGACACACCAACCTCCTGCACGAGTGCACAAGGGCTCAAAATGTTCTATTCATCACAAGAATCAGTAAATATACAGTTGGGAATATGAGCGACTGACATGAGTCCTGAGCGGATCTTCAACAATAGTTTAGCAGCCAGGACTCGGGGCTTCCGAACACCAGGCTAAACCGTCCGTCGGTCATCGTGCATGAGCTGCCCAGCACAAACTTCCAAACTTTCTGCCTCCTTCACTTGGTCTTCAGTTGTGCAACAAGAGGTGAGACGATAACAATCCGGCTTTAAATTCTGCATATTCGGCAGTTTCTTTTCCAACAACGGGCCGGATAGCTTTTCTCACGTCTTTCTCCGCTGCCATTACTGAACTGAAACTGACGCGCTTACATCAACGTCATCGTTCTCAGCCACTCCCTCTATTCGCTGATTGGTCCTACAAAAAATTGATTTCTGGAGCGATCCCAGACGTAGTTACTGAAGTAAAATGAAATTGAGCGGAAGTGCGTAGGAGGGCACAGCCAGGCTAGCAGATTCGACACTGCTGCTGAGAAGTGGTGCGTAAACACACCCTTGTAAGAAAAAGATTTATTTAGAAAAGTAACAACGGCCTAAATTATGCATTTGAGTGCATTAGTTCAGCAGAACGCAATACAAATGTTTTAAGGTTCCTGTACAATTAAACATACACTGAAAAAAGTAGAACTTGTTGAATTTAAGAATCAACATGGGGATTGTTCAGATTAAGTTAGCTTTTGATTGAAAAATCTGTACTTTTACATAGCCCTATGCATTTTATAAACTATACATTTTTTGTTCACATAAAATAGATATCTTAGAAATGTCCTAACTCTTGTCATTGTTTTTTGTCGCTGTTAACTTCTTATAGGCAGACACTCTTTTAACTGTCTGTTTGTGTGCAGACATCAGAAAAATGATCTGTCTCCATCTTCTCACATGCTCATATAAATGAAGCGAATAACAGCACACAGACGCTGAAGAACTGAAAGATGAAGGAAACCCATCATACACACCCCACACAGTGAGAGTCTGGACCAACCCGCTCTCTTTCTCTCCTTCTCTGTCTCTTTCTTTCAACCTTTTTCTTCAGCTTCACAGGATTCACTCAAACACACTTTTCACTGTTCACCTCAAGACACAGAAAGTGCTGATACCGAAGGTCTCTCTGGTGCTCCAGAGTTACATTATACAGCTTGCAGCAACATCCTTACTTTACTTTTATCTCTCTTCCTCTCCCTCTCTCGTTCTCTCTCCCTCCTTTGAGGTTTCAGCCTTTCTCTATCCATTTCGAACACTAAAATCGTAAAGCTTTTCTCAAACATAAGGCAATTCCACATCTTTCTCTTAAAGTGCTCTTAAAAATCTATTTTACACTCTTGTTCTGTCTCTCTCTTCCCCTGCAGTTTAACTCAGTGTGTCCTCATTAAATCTGCAGGCCTGCTCTCCCTTCAAAGTCAGACACAATTCTTCCCGCTCCTGAATAGCATCAATTTTTGGCAGACTGTCCCTTGATTTCTCTTTCATTCTCTCTCTCTCTCTTTCTCGACCCCATCTACACACACACACACACACATGCTGCACTTCTTCACAGTTCATCCGGTGGAGTGTGTTGTGTGTGAATAAGAATCAGACAGTGAGGAGAGATAGGCTGTGAGAGAGAGAGAGAAGGGGAAATGAGGTGCCGCAGGCCACTGGGTAAAAGGAGCACTGAAATCTGCATAATTCCTAGCATGCCTGGAATATGACACACTTCACACTCAATACTGTCGGGCAGCCGCGGACACTCACACACACACACACACACACACACAACCAAGACGTGTTTTTTTTTTCTTTACCTAGCTGCACATTGGGACCGGGTGGCATGACTAAAATATTATCACGGTAATGGTATATATCATAATATAGTTATTTTTCAGGGAATTTAACAGGTAAGTGGTTTGTATCAGAAGTGCAGATAGCCCAGGGGGTATTTTTTCTTCAACTTCGAACCAGTGCTACCGCTGCCTGCCCCTGCATTATTATGAGTAGTCTTTCTTTGATTTTGTTTCTAACCCCCCCCCCCACCCCACACACACACACACACACACACGCACACACACAAATTTTGTGTTAAAACAGCACATTCAGAGTTACGTTTTCTGAATATTCCCACAGGCGACGCTCCCATGTAATATATTTCCTCAGCCACAAGGACTCCTAATGCCTCGTATTTGACGAAATGTAAAATGTTATGTTTTAGAACAATAGAAAAATATTGTGTCTGGATAACCTTTTTATTTGCAGTTTGAATGTCATCTTCCCTGGGTCCATTGAAATGGACACATGGCGTTAATATTTTATCACATGGTGTTCATATCACATGGTTTAAAACAATAGTTTTTTGTGTGTTTGTTTTTATAATATGTGACCTTGGATCACAAAACCAGTCACAAGTTGCACGGGTGTATTTGTGTGTAATGGCCAACGATACATTGTATGGGATTTTTCTTTTATGCCAAAAATCATTAGGATATCAAGTAAAGTTCATGTTCCATGAATATATTTAGTACATTTCATACAATAAATATATAAAACATTTATTTTTGTGAGTGAATGCAGCACAACCATGTATGTTCAATAAAGTTGAACATAAATGGACAACTTTAAAGGCAATTTTCTCAATGTTCAGATTTTTTTTTTGCACCCTCAGATTCCAGATTTTCAATTCGTTGTGTCTCGTCAAAATATTGTCCTATCCTAACAAACCTTACATCAATGGAAAGCTTCTTTATTTAGCTTTCAGATGTTGTATAAATCTCAATTTCAAAAAGTATTTTTGCCCTAAAACTGCAGTGATTTAAAGATCGTCTCAAAAACGAGTTTTGAAATCTTGGGTGTTTCTTACATCACAAACTACCTTGTAACAAATCGAGCGGGGCGGCTATAGCATGTCATTAACTATTGTCTGAAGCAATCGAGTCTCAAGAGAAGCCAGGTTATCCCGGTATATTTTTATATGATGTACAGTATATTACAATGTTATGATTAATAATTTGCCTTTTTCCACTGTAGTTCTAATTTGTTCAAAGCCTTTCTAAAGGATACTGATTATTAGAAGGCAGCTGTCTGACTCTGAGATGGTGAATGGGAACACCGTTTGTGTAACATTAGCAACCCATTATTAGCTGTTTGATATTGCAGTCAAGCAAAAGGGTAATCATATTTATTACCATTATGTGTCCGACATTGTGAAGAGCGAAATCATTGTGTAGCGTTTACATTCAGTAACTTGACTAAAGTTGGTGGGGCTAATTTGCATATATTCATCGATCCGCTTATATTAAATGAAGCAAGGGTTGTAGAGTTACATCCAATCTATTTTAAGGCATGATTGAAGAATTTTTTTCACTGGAAAGAAATACTTTTTAATACGTTATTTTGGTGATATATTGACTACAGGGGACTTTAAATGCTGATTTACGAGTCACAGTGTGATATCAAGCTATTCCTCATCTTAACTTGTGTGGGACCCATCACACACTGTATTTTCATGTCTTCCCTGTCTATATAATGTAAAATAGTGCTGTCCACTAATATTACTGGATATGTGAATCAATATAATAGCAGTAAAAATGAGATTGTTTGTTTTTCTGCCAGCTGCTGAGAGTACATCTGATTGGCCATAAGCCAATGAGAGTGGCTGTGACATCTGTTATGATGAAAATCACACTTTTCAGCTTCATAATAGTTAATGATATACATTTGTGTATCCACAGGTGCGTTTAGAGTGGCCCACAGACCTGGCAGTGAGTCCGCTGGATAACTCTCTCTACGTTCTTGATAATAACCTTGTGCTCCAGGTGAGCGAGTCCCAGCAGGTGCGAGTGGTTGCCGGACGACCTATCCATTGCCCCATGGCCAGTATTGAACCGGTGATTCTGGGGAAAACAGCGGTGCGGTCTGTTCTGGAGGGAGCGAAAGCTATTGCCGTCAGCCACCAAGGGGCTTTGTACATTGCCGAAACCGACGACCGGAAGCACAGCCGTGTACAAGAAGTGTCCACAAATGGAGAAATGGTTATTATAGCGGGTGTGACCAGTGAATGCGATTGTAAGATTGACCCCAACTGCGAGTGTTTCTCAGGTGAGACAAGCATACATTTCAGTGCTAAACCCAGTGATTTACTATAATCCTCAGGGAGGTTGTTTATACTGATGATGTATTAGTTTTCCACATTGAACCTTTTTTTTGTAAGCCACTGGTTATAAAAATCACAAGTTTTGTCTTATATATGACTTGAAAAATAGCAAAATTTGCAATTTGATGTACAGTAGCAAAATTTCACCACTGTTACAATATAGTATACAAATTTAACCTTAAAAGGGGGTCATATAATGCCATTTTCATACAAGTTAATTTGATTCTTAAGGGTCTAAATGAAAAGTTTGTAATGTACTTTAATTAAAAATTCTCATTAGTATTGGAAGAAAACAGTCAAAAACAGCTCTGTTTTCAGCACGCCGTTTCAGTGGATATGCCTTTAAATGATAATGAGCTTGAACAGGTTTCTGAATGGTTGGTTAACATGATGTCACTTTGACCTATCTTTGTGTACTGGCAGGGCAGAGTAACTTAGTGAGATGTACAATGTATAAGTACTCAGTTTGTAATAACACAATAACCATAATGCGATGTTCATTATGAACGTGGGATTATGAATTATATTGAGAACGTCGTACATTGGAAACATAACGTTTTGGTACTGTATAATAAATGGAACGTTACCCAGAGTGTAAACCTTAGCCGCATTCATCGTGAAGCGTGCTAGCGATTTGCAAAGATTTAAGGTTAATACAATTTTACACTCACTTCTTCTGGAGGTGCAGCAGGGACATTTCAGGAGCAGCTTCTTAGCAAAATCAGCTTTATACTGATCCTCATTTATAAAGCTGTCTAGTGAGAAATGATTTGCGCAAACATGAAAGCATTAACGTTGTTCGAGGGGAATATTCCCTTCGAAAACAAAACTCAGCTACTGTGTTTTGGATTTAGGAACATCAAAATGAATGTTGTGTTCGTTATCACACCCAAGAACAGAACACCACAATCGCTTGGACGCCATTCTGCTCCAGTGTCAACAATGGCGGGGTCTGTGCGGGTCTATTTTGAAACGCTGCTGTGAATCAACAAACGTGGGAGGAGCGTCCGACATCGTGACGTCACACGGTCGAACGGCTCAATTTGTGGCAGGGAAAAACATATGAGGAGATTAAAACAAAAACACTGGATAGATTTGTATCATTATTTGATGGTTGTGTACAGGCACTGCCAACACACATTCCTGTACAATCAACTTGAAAACTTGCATGTACCATTATATGACCCCTTTAAGCAAAACTTTTGATGTTATTTTCAGATAATTCTTCAATAAATACATTCCAAATGCATACAGTGGAATTGCATTGACTTCTATAAAAGCCTTTCCAGTAAGCTAGATGCCTGAAACTTGAGTATGTTCATCTGAGAGCGGCCCTCTTACACATGCTAATGTTTTATTTGCCTGTTGAAAATCATTAAGAATAGTTTATCCATGATTTACTCAATATGAGATGTTCTTGTATTAAAATATTGTTATATATTATTTATTGCCCTGTTTATATGACAATGTTTAGTGTACGTGTGCCGCAAGACAAATTTCTCTTTTGGGACAATATACACTACCGTTCTAAACATTCATATTTTTACTCAGCAAGGATGCATTAAATTGATCATTTATAATGCTTCAAATAAATTGTTATTTTTTAACTTTCTATTCATAAAAGAATCTTGAAAAACAATGTATAATGGTTTCCACACAAGAATTAAGCAGCACTGATTGTGTAATACTCTTTTGATCATGTGACACTGAAGACTGGAGTAATGAAGCTGAAAATTCAGTTTTGCCATCACAGGAATACATTACATATATTAAAATAGAATAAAATATAAAATGTAATAATATTTCACACTATTACTGGTTTAACTGTATTTTTTATCTAATAAATGCAGCATTTGGTGGGCATTAGAGGCTAATGTCAAAAAACATTAAAAAAATCTTGCTGACCCCAAACATCTTTTTCTTATATTCATTCAATTTTTAAGTAAAACATAATGTTGCATATTACATAATACGGGTCAATTGTTGTTGTTTTTAATTGTTAGCAGTGCAACAGTAGGCAGTTATGTAGTTTGACTTTGGCATGCTGGGAGATTCAATTTGTAAATATTTTCCTGCCAAACTTGTTGGTGTGACACAATTTAATAGCCCTGGATGCCACTGTTGTATGCAGATTTAATTTGTAAAAAAAAGAAAAAAAAAAGATTGTTATTATTTAACTGCTGTAGAAGAGTGTTGCACTTTTACTGCAGTGGGTCTCTGAGGTTTAATCGTTAAGCCCAACACTGAATGCCTAATGAACTAGACTTCCTCTTTTTTTTCCCTTCTCTTTCTCATTCTCTCCATGAAATTGTCCCCAGGTGATGGAGGTTATGCTCGCGACGCCAAGCTGAAGTCTCCCTCATCTCTGGCAGTTTCTCCTAATGGCTCCCTCTACATCGCTGACCTCGGGAATGTTCGTATACGTCGGCTCACAGCTAACCATCCACAGCTCACTCCCGAGGGCCTGTTCGAGCTCACCTCGGTGGCAGATCAAGAGCTCTACCTGTTCAGTCCAAATGGTACTCACCTGTTCACCCGCAGCCTGGTAACCGGGGACTACTTACTTAACTTCACATATACCCTCGAGGGCCACCTGAGCAGCATAGCAAGCAGGGAGGGCACGATCGCGCAGTTGCGGCGGGATGCTAATGGCGTGCCCCTGTGGCTCGTAGCCCCGGGCGGACAGGTTTACTGGCTGACCATCAGCAATGCCGGGATGCTGAAGCGCATCTCGGCTCTCGCTCACGACCTCGCGCAGCTCAGTTACTACGGCAACACAGGGCTACTCGCTACCATCAGCAATGAGAACGGCTGGACTACTGTCTACGAGTAAGTGATGCCCTTCTTTTACCCTCCTTTTGTCTATCTCTCTCTCATCAGCTGCATTGCTTGATTTATAGGTGCGCGCGATAGCACGATCTGTCTTCGTTTTCGCGTGTCATATCCTGTCGTAGCTTCCCTTAGAGTCTATTTCGGCTGCTGTCATGCCACACAGCCTCACTTGCACACTGATAGTCCAAGGCCATTTTTATTATCAGCAGGAATAGTGGCAAGTTTCTACTGTATATAAAACAATATTCTCCCAGCATAGATTAATCTTTACCTGCGGCTAATTTAATCACGCTTTATTAGAATTTATTAGAAGGAAAATAATCTAATAGAGTCTGATCGACAGTGTTACCCGAGATCGTTTGAAAGAGTGCAGTAGTTCGATTTCTCAAGCTGCGTGCTTTTCTGCTGCAATGAAAATCACTCAGCCTTAATCTATCCAATAAAGAAAACTCTGTATCCTCTTCTGATTTCACTATGAAAGAGCCTGGGTACCTGTGAGTGTGTGTGTGTGTGTGTGTGTGTGTGTGCATTGTAAACTGTTTGCATGGGCATTTTCAGGGATTTGTGAGACTGAGCTGCAAGTTCTAATTTAGTGTGAAAATGTCAGGGGCTTCTTTTCCTCTCTCTCTTTCTCTCCTTTTTGTTTGATCAACTCGGTGACCTTTCACACACTGTGTTTACACACACACGCACATACATACACACACATACCCGTTCTCATGCAGCTCATGGTGTAGTGTTGAGGCGGATCACATGCCTGTGTTCAGTCTGTTGTGAGACACTGCCCCCTGCTGGCACTTACTAAACCATATTCGAACATTAAACTGACACCTTATGGTTCAGGCTTGAAGTGCCAAAATCATAGTTTTGTTAATGTCCTGTTGCACAATAACCAAAATCCCAATTATAAACTCTTTTTTTTTTCTTTTTGCTTTTTTAAGTGGTAACACGGCATGCTAGCTTTGCGTTCACATTTATTAATTAGGTATTATAAACTAACAATAAACAACCATTTTAACCGCATTTATTAATCCTAATAATTTTTAATTTATTAAAATTCTATTATATTAAAAAAATACTGCCCATTAAAATAAATGCATTAACTGAAATAATTGTAAATTATAATATCAGAAAGTAATATTTCTTGGGTGGTAACACTTTACAATTGCTATTCGTTAACATTAGTTAATGCATAGATATTGTGAGCAAACAAAAAACAAATTTTAGCAGCATTTATTAATTTAGGTTGTTTTTAATTAATTTAAATACATTTCAAGTTATATTATCATTTTTCTTGTTTAATGTCTTTAAAAAAGCAGAATGAAACAAAACACAAATACACAAAAAAATAAATTAAATAAATAAATATGTTCTATTATAAGTACGGTAAAAAGTTAAAATTATTAGTATATGTATTTGTAAATTACCATTAACCTAGAATTAAAAATAATGGTCTGTCTTTAGTTCGTGATGCCATTACCTAAGTGAAGCTAATGTTGATTAGTAAAATTTTATTCTAGAGTGTTACCATTTTAGTTAATGTTTATCTATTTTAAATGGGTTCATATGCAACTTTTTAACTAGATGCCTGTAGCTTATTCTGCAACACCGTGGAAGCTTATTTAAATGATGTTTCTACATTCTGTTGTGCACACAACACTGAAGGATGGTGTGTTGACTTTGATCAGCTCCCTTCATTCAGAAGTAGTAAGTACTGAATATTTCAGAAACATACCTCAAAGCAGAATATGCGCCAACGTAGGTGTTCCAAACTCGTCAACAAGCGCCTCGGGTTCAGGGAATTTCTCTGATCTGATCTGCATCCAGTAATGACTTGCGTTAGAAAGTGCTCAGAAAAAGCTCAAAACCTAGTAAGCTGTCTTTCTAAACTTCATTTTGGGGAATTATAGGGAGGTTTACCTTATGCAGTTGTTCATTTTGCCATCAACGTGACTTAGTTACGAATGAGGAATACAACTGAAGTTATACAGCTGTAAGGGAGAGAGTAATGAGTTGTTTAAGATTTATTTATTTATTTATTAATTATTCTTGTTTTGATTTTTTTTTTAGAAAGAATACGTAAATTAACAGTATTGAATCAATTTTCAGCTTGTGATGTTTCTGGTCTATTAATTTTCCAGCTACCTGGCCGATCTGCAAACAGAAAATTGCAGGAATACAATCTCAGGCGTCATTAGTCAACTAAACGTGCAGAGTTATGCTAGGTATGAGGGACAGGTGAGCCTTTCAACTCAAAACACATGGCTCTACTTAGCTGGTGGTGGTCCCCAAGTCATTTCAAGTCTGAGAATGACCCCCTCTTTAGAATTAGTATTATTATAATGGCTTGAGACGATCATTTCACCAGAGGAATAGTGAAATTTTGGGAAAGTGAGAGGCTGCTCAATATGCAAGCATTTGTCTTGATGCGAGTGTCTGGCAAGCAGTGAAGCACGACAAAGGCGTTCAAATGATCGATCCTAACGTTCAGATGTTCCTGTGATGCCCAAAAATGCTGTCTGGTAGGCAGCTCATTAAGTTTTGACACATAGCCATATCAGTTGTGCTTGCTAAGGTGAGCATCACTATTACTGTTGGCTCCTACTGCTCAGAACACCTTAGCAACCGCATAGCAACAACCTGTACATTTAGAAATCTGAAAATGCAGATATAAAAGTTTTAGAATACGATTTCAGAAGAGTTTTAATGAGCATAAACCGTGTGGATTAGGTGCTTATGCCTGCACAGTCAATCCATTTAGTTCCTTTTCAATTCAGGTTTATTTGTTTAGCACTTTTTGCAATACACAATGTTCCAGAGCAGCTTTTCAGAAAATAAAAAAATAAAGGAGATAAAAGGATAGGACAAATAGTGGCTTACAACCCCCCAGTGAGCGAGGAAAGGAAATCTCCCTAAGATGTTGAATTAGAAACCTCTATTTCAAGCAGACTCAACATTTTGAGGACAGGAGAACGTTGCCGGCGATGTCTCTTGATCTAAACCGCAGGCCTTTGAATGCTCAAATGAAAGCTTTTATTCTTTTACATCGAGTGTGGGTTGCAAGACACAAGTATATGGTTTAATTTGGCATTGACATTGATTAGACATAAATAAAACAGGGAGAAGATGAAGTAGCTTGAGTTGTTTAGTTCTAAATATGGATTTAGATATGGAAAAAGAAATGAAACATGTCATTAGTGCTTCACAAGACCGTCCACGAGCCGCCACACGGATTTAAATGTCAAGTCGTCTGTTCCATATGGTGCATTTGCGGATTTTAACATTCACCTTTTATAATGTATCGTATACACCCACACTTTGTTTTTCCGTCTTTTCTGGGACTTCACATTGACTTTTATCCTGAGATAATGATGCTTTCTTATCCTATAACCTTTTTTGTAATCCTCATTTAGACATTTAGTTTATTTAATAAGCTGTTTAAGCTGCCGTGTATATAGATGAGATCAATTTTTACTTTCTTAAAATGTGGACAAACTGAAAAAAGTCAAAGGAAACTACTGTTGAATAAAACGGTGTCATTTGTGCTTGGCACAGTGTCCATTCCCTAATCCCTGTGTATAAGGAAGGTAAACAGATTTGGCTTGCTGTCAAAGACAGGAGTGCAGCTTGAGACGCGACTAAAGCTCTTAATAACCCCTGGACTACTTAATAATGAGGTTAGTAATGAATGAATAGAAGCAGAGGTGGAGTTCAAGGGTGGTGGGATGCAGTCATAGATCTTATCATAGATTTTTACATTATCTTTAATGATTTTTAAAATGCTAACTCTAAAAATCAAGAAAAATCAACCAGACAAAATAAAAGGACTAATACTCATTTTTATTTTCAAAAGTATGCATTTGGTAAACTTTATTGGTAGGAGGAAAACCCCTTGAGATGTGGCATCTCGTTTTCGAGGGGGCCTCAAAAAAAAAAAAAAAAAAAAAAACATACTTCATATACATACATACATACTAACAAAACAAAGACAAAAGACAAAAGCTCTCCATCACACCGAAACCACCCAAAACTTCCCCAGTCCAACCAATGTATATTAGGCAATAAGCAATAAAGGTCAATCGTATAGACAAATTTTTAGAAGGAAAAAAAAAGAAAAAAAATACAATACTGTACACATACATACCAACATACATGTGTATACACACTTATACACATGCACACGCATACATATATTTATATATGCATACACACACGTACATACATCAAGCATGAGGAAAACAGTTGCACCTTGTATGCAAATAATTATTAAGAGACATCTTAAATTGGTGAAAAGAGGAGATCGATCTAAAAGACCTAGGTAAATCATTCCAGTCAGAAGGAGCTTTAAATTTAAAGGCTCTCCTCCCACTTTCTTTAGCTATATTTGGTACAGAAAAGAATAGATGATCAGTGTCTCTTAGACTGTAAGAAGTTTGATAAGGAATCAAGTATTGTTTCAGATAGGGTGGGTAGTTTGAAAAAATGCATTTATGAACAAACTGCAACCAATGATACTGTCGTCTAGCACTTAGTGAAAAAACATTTATGCATACATGTCAGAACATTGGTGCGTTAATATCAGAACTTTGAGTGTTGAAGAGTGTTGAGCCAGGTTACACAGCCAAAACAACCATTTATTGGAATTATGAGATTAATTAACACTTTAGGGTGACACGTTAGGGTCCAATTGTCACTATAGTTGCTTATTAGCATGCATATTTCTAGGATATTGGCTGTTTATTCTGCAAAACCATATTTTACATCCCTAATATCTATAATATCATCCAATACCTAATATCTAAACGTAACAACAACCTTACTAACTATCAATAAGCAATAATTAGGAGTTTATTGAGGCAAAGGTCGTAGTTAATAATCAGAATTGGACTTTTGTGACCTTTTTTGTCACAGAAAGGTAACGAGAAGGAACAAGTTGAATTGACACTTTATTTTTTAAAAGAACAGATACTGATTCAATTTTTGTTTAGGCTAACTAACAACCAGTGTTGTGCAAGTTACTTCCAAACTGTAATACATTAGGTATTACTTGTTACTGTTATTTAAAAGTAATTCATTACCTTACAATATTACTGTCTCAGAATTGTAATGTGTTACATTACTCATGTATTACTTTTGAGTTACTTTCACCAAAATAACTAAGTAGAACTTAACTTTGGGGCTGTAACGATATGCAATATGAAACCGAAATCGCGATTCGCCACACGACTCGAACCACGATCCACAAACTTACAGAATCGTGACACACCTCTTCCAACTCCCAGCGTTATTCTCCTTACGTCCAGATCCAATGCTGCCTTATCTTTAAATTAGTCTATTAGTATTATTTGAAGTTAACATGATAAAATACGTAGACCTACACCACAAAACTAGTTGAGGATAAATTATTTAAAATTGGGGAAGTCCAGCATTATGGACATGACATTTGCAGTCAAAACTTGAAATAAAAATTCTCAGAAAATACATGTATTGAAACGTATATAGGCTACTTCCTTAAAGGACTCCAGACATTAGACAAATATCAGTCTATGTTTTATTTTTAATATTAGGGAAAAGACACACATTCATGCATGACAAAAAAATAGGAGGCAAAATATATTTTTTGTAATTATGTTAATTACATGGCGCAAATCGGATGAGGAAGGGTTGGCTCTGCAGAACTTAAAATATTCATTTTATTTTAGTTTTCGTGTTCGCATTTATGAGGAAAAAACAATGTTACAGACGCGACCGCTCTGAAGTGGCACTAAAAGACTGCTTTAAAACTTTCACATAGTCTGTTGCCTTTAAGAAGTAAAAGCAGACAATACACTGTAATACAACTGTAATACAAGCCTCACTGAACATGTAACGAGTAAAATATTACTGAAAATTGATTAGTAATGCCTTACACTACTGCGTTACAGCAAAAAGTAATATGTTACTGTAATGTATTACTTTTGTAATGCGTTACTCCCAACACTGCTAACAACACAAACATACTTCTGGATGTGACTTTAGGAAAGTGTGACTGAAGTTTATTTTTAACAAGGTCCCTGATCATTGAAGTTCCACCTTCACAGTTCAGCACATTTCAGGGGATTGTTTTATGATCCTGTCACAATGTAATTCAGTCTTTGCAAAGAGGCCGTTATTGAAGAATGCAGCAGCATGAACTATATTGGACCCAACAGCAAACCCAAGCCGTATGTAAGTGAAGCAAAGCGTTTCTCATTTCACATGCGAAGAGGGCGTTTATACAGAGGTCTTAAAGGCACGGCAGCAAAAAGCAGCCTGTTTACTGCTGTTGTAAAGGTCAGGGAGTGGATGGAAAATTGTCATGAACAACTAAATTATGGCACATGAAGCCTTGACAACTGTTTCAAATGTCGTCGGGGAAAAATAAAATGAAAAAATGCATGATATGACCCCTTTAAACTCTCTTACATACACATGCATTTACACTCACTAATTTAAACTTTACTACAGTCTTTCTCTCTCACACACACACACACACTCAGACTAACAGAAAGTGTGTTCATGAGCAGGTATAACTCTGACGGACACCTCATCAACATGACCTTGCCGACTGGAGAGGTCAGTAGTTTCCATGGAAACATGGAGAAAGCTGTCAGAGTGGAAGCCACTGCCTCGAACAGAGAAAACTTTATTATAATTACAAACCACTCTGCGGATAACACCATCTACACACTTCGACAAGGTGAGTATGTATGTGTGTGTGTGTGTGTGAGAATCTGCAAATAATATTTTGTGTGCAAACACAGTGGCCCCAAAAATGATTTGAACACTTCAGACACATTTAAAGGGATAGTTCACCCAAAATGGAAATTATGAAATAATTTCATGTAATAAATGTAATGCTTCTAATCTTATATTGCTCTTTATCTCTGTCCAGCTCACTCTGTTGGTGTGTACGGTGTTCGAGATGACGGCTCTCTATGGGTGACATATGCCAGCGGGATGGACGTTACTCTCAGTACTGAACCAACCGTGTCATCAGGGTTGTTGCCAGGGGCATCGGCAGGCCTCGTCCATCCCACAGTCGGAAGGTGCAACATCACGTTGCCAGGGGAACCAGCTCACAGCCTGATAGAATGGAGACAAAGGCGTGAACAGGCCAAAGGGAATTACACAGCATATGAACGGAGACTGAGGGTAATAATGTGTTTTCCATGAAGGGTATACTGTAGCATGTTATGTGCATGGGGTACAATGGGTTTTTCCAAGATGTGTGCCACACATTGACCTTATTCACAGCACACTGTAAAAAATGATCAATAATTTATGATAATATACTGTATGTTTTTTTTACTTTGTTTTAAGTTATTCAAGATTCACCTATTTTTTAAGTCAGTTCAATGTGATTTAAGTTGATATGACTTAAATATCCTAGTTGATTGTACTTATAAGGCAGCGATTTGTTTTTACAGTGGAATGAAAGGGGCTGTAAGGTTTAGACAAGCATCTCTTCAGTGAACTGTTATTTAATGCCTTTTTGGATTGTTCTGCTGAAGAAACTGCAAAAATATACTCCTGAGTATTTTCAGTAGACAAAAAAACCCAAAGAATGTAAGCTGTGGAAATTTATAAGTGATCTAGGAGCTTTTTACGGCGGATGCCATTGAAAAAAAGTCTATCTCTCACAGCCTCGCTTCCATACTTGTCACGGTGCTGCTCTGAATAAGTCTATTGTGAGGTGTTGACTGAGAAAGTAAAGTTACAAATATTTGTTTATTTATTATGATTGATCAAACACTTACGAAAAATGCAATAATTAACTTGTGTTCACCTTTGTGCTGAACAGTTAAGTTTATAACATATTAGCAGGTATTTTTAGCTAATGTTAACAGTAGGACTTATTGCATGATTAGTTTCAAGTGAAGCTGTCACATCAAATGCAGCATTCATCATTGAGGTCAAGTCAGTGAAATTGCTTACTAAATGGAATCAAAAAAGACCCTGCTTCTGTTATTCATCCACTTCAACCGAGTTGCATTTTTTATTTATTTCAATTAATTTATTCCAGCTTTTTTTAATTGAACCTGGGTCGTTCTAAATCAAAATCTAATTTTGCCTTTGCTTTATAGATTTAATTAACACCACTGTGCGTTAAGCTTAAATTGTATTATTTTATTTGATACCCCATATTAAAGCAAGCTTTATTTATTTATTTCACATGTTTATTATCTTCCTAAAAAAGTGGGAGGAAGCTCTGGTTGAAGTAAAACACTGGGTATATTGATTTTGTTAGTGATTTAACATGTGTTATTGAAATGTAAGCTTGGAAAACAGTTTTGTCTTTCGGTCATTCCAGTCTTTCCTCATTCCAGTAATCTACATAGAATATGTTCTTTGTACTTGCCTGACTACTAATTGCTGCTCAGGACATTACAAAGAGGGCCGCAGAGTTAACTGACTTTCCTTAAAGGGACTTTAGTGTGGTAAAAATAGAAGAAACAGACTACATTACACACCTGCTCTCTCTAATATAACATATAACAGGCACTGCACAGTTTATTTACCCTGCATTTCGCACACTGTTCCAACTTCCTCTTAGAATAAACTCCATAAGTCTTTCTCTTCTCTATTTTATGCTCTCTAATATTCATATTCACTCATTCACTGTTCAGTGCCACTTCTTGGTTGCAGTTTTAGTGTGCTTTACAGGCACTACAAATTCCAATTGCAAACGATAATTAATGTAATTAACAGAAAATGTCATCATATAGTAAATCAAAGTTTTAGTGGGATTAACTATACAATTATTTAAATGTTTTTTAAAAGAAGTGTCTTATGCTGGGGTAAAAGGTATGGGGGTAGGATTTTCCATTATTCAAAATAAATAGATCATGATCCACAAATAAATGTGAAGAGATTCACAAAAATAAATCAAATTCACAAATAAATAGATAAGATCCACAAATAAATGTAAAGAGTTTCACAGAAAAAATGTAAAACTCACAAATAAATAAAAGGAGATTTGCAAATACCTATCGCTAGGTATTTTATACTTTCTTAAATTGTGTCTACCCCGTGCGAGTCTGTCTAACACTGGACAAAGCAAACCGTGCAAATGATGTGTCCTCCGTTTATATAAATAGTCTCTGTTATAGACACTTTATAGATTATAGAAGATTATAGACACGTCATATATCTGCAGCTAAGAAAACTGGGCAAAATGTGTTAACATTACAAACATGTTAGTATTACATTATTGAAACTGCCACGGCAGCCAAGAAGATAACGGGCCGTTTGCTTCTGACGCGCTGTCGCGCCACTTGATTCCGGTGTAGAGAGTGTTATGCTCGGGATGGTGATCATAATTTGTGTGTAATCCCGATGGAAATATAAAAAAGCCTTAAACTCCAGCAACCTTTTGGAAACACGTTGTTGCAACCACAGAAACAGCTCAATTTGAATAAAAGCGCCAGGCAGACAGATATACAAGGGTGCAAATATCTTCAAAATGAATCACATTCATGTCCCGCCCCGAGTGCAAAGCCTAACGTGATTGGTTGTAGCAAGAACGTGCTACGATTGGTCAGCTCAGCGTGGCCGTTATCTGATTGGCTTGAGGAAACGGTGGATGGAGTCCACTTATTTGTGGATTTTTTTTTTTTTGTGGATCATGATCTATTTATTTTGAATAATGGAACAATCCTACCCCCATAAAAAAGGCCCCTTTGATTTTATTTTCCTCTAAACCAGGGGTGCCCAATCCTGCTCCTGGCGATCGACTGTCCTGCACAGTTCATCTCCAACCCTAATCAAACACACCTGAATGTGATCCTAAAGACCTTAATTGGCTACTTCATGTGTGTTTGATTAGGGTTTGAGATGAACTGTGCAGGACAGTCGATCGCCAGGAGCAGGATTGGGCACCCCTGCTCTAAACCATTAGATGACACAAAAACCTGCCAGAGCACTATTCAAAACATCCATATATATATATATATATATATGCAATCACACTATGGGAAAAGCACATTTTGTGTCCCTTTAGCCCCTTTGTACCCTAATATTGTGATATATTGTTACAATTTAAAATAACTTTTTTTAAATAACTATAATTTTAAAATGTAATTTACTCCTGATGGAAAAATAATTTTTTTCAGCAGCCATTACTCCAGTCTTCACTATCACATGATCCTTCAGAAATATTATTACTTAAAGGTATAGTTCAAATCAATATTTAAAACTATATAAACTATAATCACTGACTTACAGAAACAGCCATACATGCGTTCACGAGAGAGAGATTTCCGGCAGAAGGTTGACCCCTGACCTGATGATATATGTATATGTACTGTGTGTATCCACAAGTTTCCGAGGGGCGCTCCTGTAAAAAATAAAGTGGGTGAAACTTCCGGTGATGCGGCGGAAGTAGCATTCCAATGGTATTTTGTGTGTTAGTTAGCGAAGAGGCTAGCTGTTTTTCGGAGAATTATTTTACTTTTTAAAGACGCAAATCTTTATGAGAGATGTCGTTATGAGCTCATGGACAACATGTGCTGTTCGCGGTTGTATGTGTAACCGGACTAAACTAATTCAGTGGCTTAAACGTGATTGTTTTGAACATAAGCTGAAAACGAAATCAGAGTGATCCTGCCAACGACTGTAGTTTCCATCACCTCCCAAAAGACGACGAATCTTCCTGTGTACATTTGTTTAAATTCTTAATATTCTATAAACTTTTATCAGCATGTGTTTGGCTGTTCTCTACTGATGTTACACCTAAACTCAGGATCAAAGCCTGTGTTGACAGAATACCAAATGTGCCAGTTAATGTATTCAAGTAGCACATTCATTTATAATTTTGAATAAACTCCAAAGCACAATGATTAAGTGTGTATTTTTTATTTTAATTGTTTTTCAGCTCGCACAACTGTCTGTCACCATGCCTTGATGAGTATTGATTATTAATAATGTTATTATAATACTCCCAATCAACTACTGTGGAGGGTAAAGGTACTGTTATTTCACCTTTTTTAATTTCGTTGAGGTTGTGTTCCCACATCATTAGCTAGTTTGGATCGCTATAACTTGAATGACTGTCACCTGTTGAATGAACGAGTGTCAAGCATGTCAAATCGTGCTTTGTTTACTTCCAACCGGAAGTCGCGCCCACTTTTGACGCAAGGCCTCATGGGGCGTAGGAAACTTGTGGATATATATATATATATATATATATATATATATATATATATATATATATATAGTGACCCTTGAACCTGACCCTTGACACAGTGGACAGTGCTTCATTCCATTCAAAGTCATATGTGTATAATTCCAAGTTGGAAAATCTGACTATATAGTAATTGCTGAATGGAAGGCAGCTTAAGTAGTCTGCCACTGTGCAGTATTATTAGGTCCAAATAGAACTGCATTTTACTTTGGGCTTCCAAATATTACATAACCATATTTTGCTTGTATTTGTAATTTGGTCATTGTAATTATGATCACAGAATTACTCTGGTCACAAGGGGCATGGATGTTAGTACAATTAATTGTAAAACTCAGGACCAGCTCAGCGAGCGGTCTGTTTTCTTTACTCAACTCTTCTCATTGTAAGGTTTTATAATGATACAGGGATCACTGAATTAATGTTATTGGCCTAATTCCACCCTGCATGCATTATTTGCGGTGTTCCCATTTCCTTTTAAGATATTTTTTTACTGAATTTTTTATTGCATGCAAGGTCTCAGTTGGATGTTTTCCCTATTTGCCTAATTTCTAATTTGTTAGTGGATGCCACACCTCGCTGCCGTAAAGGGCAGCCGGCTCAATTACTGATTCTAATATCTTCGGCCAAATTCCAACAGCCATCTCTACAGGACATTATCTTTTTATTGGAGCAAAATCTTCTTGAAGGCCCAGACTCTGCGGTAGCCCCTTGCAGTGGTAGACGGCCAAACCAAATCATTTGCAAAGAGCTGGAAATTGATCTAGGAATCACGGAGTGAAACCAGGAGCTTCAAAAACTGGTCCAGACTCATTGTCAATTCACTGATGTATATGCTGAATAATGTTGGCCATAAATGCAACCCTGTCTCCCTTTGTACCCCTGAGAAAGAAATGTTCTTCTTTTATTGCCAATTTTATTGCACACGTTTCTGTGTACACTGGTGTAATAAGATCATAAGTTTTACCTTCTTTCTCACCCCCTTCTCTCGCTCAGGCTCACAACAGGAATGTGTTGTCTATTGACTATAGTCAAGAGAGTCGGGTTGGGAAGATCTATGATGACCATCGCAAGTTCACTCTGCGCGTTCAGTACGATGACAAGGGCAGGCCTGTGCTATGGACCCCCAGTAAATACAATCAAGTGCGAGTATCGTACTCGAGCGAAGGTCTGGTCACCAGCATACAGAGAGGCAACTGGACCGAGCGTAGGGACTACGATAACGGACGCATCATCACACGGACATGGGCCAATGGGAAGATCTGGAGCTACACTTTTCTGGAAAAGGTATGTACTGTATGTACGTGAGCGATGAGGCTATGCCTGTGTGAATCAAAAAAAAAAAAAAAAAAAAATACTGCCCAGGTTGTATTTGACCTCAAAATGAGCAGAAATTATTTTATTTTATAATTATTATTTGATTATTTATTAATTGTTATTGATAACTTTTCATATTTTTATTAAAAACTAAGCTTGTTTTATTAGCTTTTGCATTTCTTTTGCATTCTAACATTATTTTTATGACAAGAGCCCAATTAGCATTACCCTTAATGCAACATATCTCATTCTATTTACTGTAATAATTCAAATATATACATCTATTTAAATGTGTAAAATGTATCTGTAAAAAGTATTTAACAAGTATTTATTTTCAATTCGATTATTCGACTTGTTTTTTGTTTTGTTTTTAATTTATCAAATGTTTAATGCACAGAAATATACTAACCAATGAGAATAATGGCAATGAAAAATGGATATAAGAATTTGGGAATTTTCAAACAAAATGATGTTTAAAGTTATTTTCTGAGATTCTGGTACTGTACATGTTTAAGTCTCTCTCTGTTTTCTATTTCTTTCTGGTTCTTCTCCTACTCAGTCTGTCCAGCTGTTGTTACACAGTCAGCGGCGCTATACATTTGAGTATGATCAGACTGACTGTCTGCTGTCAGTTACCCTCCCCAGCATGGTGAGACACAGCCTGCAGACCTCTCTATCTGTGGGATACTACCGAAACACCTACACCCCACCCGACTCACCCACCTCCTGCTTCACGCAAGACTACGCCCACGATGGGCGCCTGCTCCAGAGCCTGTACCTGGGCACTGGCAGGCATGTAATCTATAAATACAGCCGAGTGGCCCGGCTGGCTGAGATCCTCTATGATTCAACACTTATTACCTTCACCTATGACGAGGCAACAGGTGCTGTTAAAACCATCCACCTGATGCATGAAGGATTCGTTTGCACCATCCGCTACAGACAGACAGGTACGAGCGCCACAAAAACAATGTTATCTGACAGACACAATGAGAGTAGACACAATGACAGACACTGACTCAGCAACACAGTGCTTTCAGTGTAATTTGATTCCCGAACAAATGAATCTTATGAGTTGATTCTATTTTAGTGAATCAAACTGTCTGTCTGTTTAGTTATGATTAAAATGATCTGATCATATGGTTAATGGAATAACAATGTTTCCCCAAAATATTTCTTTCTTAAAATAAACATTAAAGAGTTAAATTATTTACAATTCCAATTCCTATTCATGCTTTATTTTTGCTTGGTTTGCTGTTAAGTGGTTTCTTTTTTAATAACCATGTGGTGCCCTTTTTGATTACTCCTAATTGATTATATTAAAAATGACACATGTCAATGTACCCTATTAGTCATGCAAATATATCTACCGTAGTAGCATTTCTGCCATCACATTTTACGTATTGTCATACCATACCAATCAACCGTAATTTAAAGAAAGCCAGGTAATACGATTTTCCATATATTTATACATTTTTTCTGTAGCAAGTAACCAGCTGAAATGCTTACTTCAGTTGGCAAAGAGATTCTTGCTTCTTTGCACAAATAAACAGGTGAGATGATAATCCTGTGAGACGGAGAGACAAGTAAGATGTGTGAGCAGTTGGACAAGTAAACAGGTTGTACTCTTGCCCCAATAAACACACAGGCTGACATTTAATCTTCCTTTTGTCACTTCGCTCTCACTCCCCTCCTGCTTGGCTGATCTAAAAGCGCTTTGAAACAAAATGAGTCGTCTGACAGTGGGGGAGTTCATCCAATCTCACACTGGTGAAGCTGACTCTTGTTTTACCTAACCTCTGTGTGGCTCTCTGCTAACATCTCATCCTATTTTTTTTTTCTTTTCTCTTTTTCTCTATTTGTTGTATTCAGGTCCTTTGGTGAGTAGACAAATATATCGTTTCAGCGAAGAAGGATTGGTTAATGCTCGCTTCGACTACAGCTACAACAACTTCAGAGTCACCAGCATGCAAGCTATGATCAACGAAACGCCACTTCCGATTGACCTCTACCGCTACGTGGACGTGTCGGGACGAATCGAGCAGTTCGGGAAGTTCAGCGTTATCAACTACGACCTGAACCAGGTCATCACCACACATGCCATGAAGCACACTAAAATCTTCAACCCAACTGGGCAAGTCATCGAGGTTCAGTATGAGATTCTGAAATCCATCGCCTACTGGATGACACTGCAGTACGACAGCATGGGACGTGTCATAAATTGTGATATTCGCATCGGCGTGGACAGCAACATCACGCGCTACGCGTACGAGTATGACGCAGATGGGCAGTTGCAGACAGTCGCCATAAATGACCGCCCACAGTGGCGTTACAGCTACGACCTAAACGGAAACATCAATTTACTGAGTCACGGTAACAGTGCACGTTTGACACCGCTACGCTATGATCTCCGTGACCGCATCACACGCCTTGGAGAGATCCAGTACCGCACCGATGAGGACGGGTTCTTGCGTCTCCGTGGCAATCTTCTCTTTGATTACGGTTCGAATGGACTGCTTTTAGGCGCCTACGACCGGGACAGCGAACAGAGGATGTGGTACCGTTACGATGGGCTCGGAAGGAGAGTGGCCAGCCGTAGTAGTGACGGAGCACAGCTGCAGTTCTTCTACGCTGATCTGATGGAACCGACACGGGTGACGCACCTGTACAACCACAGTAGTGCGGAGATCACTTCCCTCTATTATGACCTTCAAGGACACCTCATCGCCATGGAGATGAGCAGTGGCGAGGAATTCTATATAGCTTGTGACAATGCTGGAACTCCTCTTGCAGTTTTCAGTAGCCGCGGCCACGTGGTGAAGGAAATTCGGTACACACCGTATGGAGACGTTTACCGAGATTCCAACCCCACCTTTCCTCTCGTCTTTGGCTTTCAGGGTGGCCTCTATGACTCTTTCACACGGTTGGTGCATCTCGGTCGTCGCGACTATGACGTGGTCGCTGGAAGATGGACGACGCCCAATCACGAATTGTGGGCCGAGCTGAGTGTGAATCCCAAGCCATTTAATTTATATTCATTTAGGAACAATTATCCTCTGGGAAACTTACAGGATGTAACCAAGTTCACAACAGGTAAGAAAAAAGTTCTGAGACTAATTACGTTTTTGAATGTACTTGCTAAAGTTAGATAACAGAAATATAATTATGTGATAATCTTTCCCCTAACTGGCTATGCACGTCAACTTGGAAAGTCCAATATGATCAGATTCACTTGTACTTTGTGTAGAAATTAGAAGCAGGGGGTGATAGCCAGTCAAGTGAAATAAATCTCACGCTTTTGGTTTGGCTTTGTGAGCTGTGATTGTGCTTTTATGCCGGTTACATTTCCCTAAGGGGAGATGAACAGCCGAGAAATAGCACATGGCAGAGCTGGGATTCATATAGCCAAAGGAACTTGCTGTAGATTAATTACTAGGGCAGTCTCCCTCAAGCTAACTAGGGTCAAGTGTCTTGCTTGAGGCTTTGGCATTAGAACAAGGTCTTTATAACACCAGGGTCAATCTATTTTAGAGAGGCTCTGCTGTTTCGGTGATTGCAAAGGGATGTGTAAAGCAAAAAGGTTTGTTCAGTATGTAAATGTGGTCAATGCATCAATCACAAATGTCTCACTGAATCGAGGGGAATTTCTGACTCACGCTGCATGTTTTTGTCGTGTTCATGGGAACTCTCACTTTAAATTTTGAGCACTGACCTAGTTTGCATTCCCGCTGAAAAACAAGCGTTCTCCGAAAATGTTGCCTATACTACACCTTCTTATCAAATTTTGCTTGGGAACTAAAGTGGTTGGAACCAAAGTTTAGAGGACTGCGTTCTCCTCTCAAGCGGAGGACTTCTACATCCGATTGGTTGCCGTTGAAACCGCATCATAGCTCATTACCATAAAGTTGACCTGACTTCAACTCTCCTCAACGCCCACATTGCCCAAGACGTGCCACACCGCTTCTCGCTTGCCACCGGCTCACATTGAAAATAAATGACTTCCGGCCACTTTGACGCTATCGCCGGTGGCGGTGTGAATGCACAGCAATACAAAAGATGCAAATACTTGCAGGTTTCTTGCCAAAAAGAGAAAATTAAGTAAAAAGGTGATGAATCTCATTATTTTTTCATTACAATAGGCTAAATGACTGTCCTATCCATAACCTACGCACTTGTCAAAGCCACACATTTTACCATAGTTACCTTGTCTACATTTTTATGTAGTTTTGAGGATAAGTGTATTTACTGAAAAGCTGAACTGAAAGTTTAAGAAAAGTTAAAACACAAGAAAAAATATTCTCAATTTGCACACATTCATTCTTAATCTTATGTCTAATATGCTGAAAAGGGCTCCGGTTGAGTTGTTTACAGCTCTTTTCGGGCTTTTAACATTGCTATCGCTTCACAGTTTAGCTACCTACTTACATCTTACATCTCTCTTTTGACCATTAGAAGTGAAGCATTCTGGTGGAATTCACACCCTTTTTATTGGATTGTACGTCTCAGTTTCACTGTTGAAATGAGAAAATCGGTTGTCTTGGCGTTGTACAGTATATTTGCAGCACCAAAGAACAGTTATTATTAGGCAATTATTTTGCGACTTTTATTGGGTACGGCTAGGGACGCATTCACACTGCATTCAATTTTTGGTAGCTGACTTGTACGTAGCTCAGTATTGTCTGTAATATTGCATTCACATTTGCAGAACAGTTCCTTATGTAGTCTTTTAACATGACAATTTCTGTTGCAAGTTCTAAAGCTCTGTAAGTCATTCTTTATAAAAGCTAAACAAAAATCTTAAACGGATTTACAGTGTTTTTTGCATCTGTACGTTTCTGTACAGATATCAGTAGCTGGCTGCAGCTCTTTGGGTTCCAGCTTCATAATGTGGTTCCAGGGTTCCCCAAACCAAAGGTGGAGAACACAGAGCAAACATATGAGATGATGGCCACACAGATCCGCACACAAACCTGGGACACCAGCAAGGTAAGTTGAGGTTTCCCATAGCACAGCATTCATCGCCAGCATAATTAGTCTATTTAGTCCTCATAATTTGTCAAGTTTTGAAACTATTTAATGATAATAATGTTGGTCTTGGTTTTTTTCTTCTTTTGAACAAAAAAGTGATCATGAAAATGAATCAGGATTGGGGCTAAATTCCAATGTGACCAAATGACCAAAAAGCACCATAAAAGAATCTTAAATGTATTATGGAAGTCATATGATAGATATCTCCTTAACACATTCATGAAAGTGGCAGCAATGTCCAATAAAACTCACGGCCCAATCCAGTGTGGGTTAATTTTGTGGTAAACTATTCCTTTAAAGGTTCTCTGAGCGATCCTGGGTGTTGTTGACGTTCGGAATATTTTCAAACAAATCGGAGGCTAGCTAGACCCTCCCTCCGCCGCGTCTCATCTCCTCCCCCTCCCTTCCGTGCTTCCTGAAATAATTGTGAACTTGCATAGTTCTAGCTAATTATATCCTTGTGTGGGTTTGGCGAACATAAAGCGTCAATTTAGAAGAAAAAAAAACAATTTAACGTTACCCACCTGTCCAGCAAAAACCTGAATGTCGGACTGGAAGCCCTTCTGCCGCCGGAGTTCTCGCCATCGTTCAAAAGCTTTGCTACCGATGTAAATTCGGAACTTCGCACGTTCTTTATCCGACTCCTTCTTCTTTTTAATTTGTTCTTCAGAACGACGTCTATTTGGTCGTGTGTCGGCCATTTTTCAAACTTCCCTCTTATGCTTCTCTCTCCTTCACACACACACACACACACCCTTCATGTGCACGCGCACTAACCCCCCAGACCCACCCTCAAATACTTCTTGCCAGTGATTGGCTGGAACACTGTTTGTTAGGTTTCGTGGTCCGGGTGAGACATGATTGTTTTTGTTGCCGTTTGTGGAGCCTGTGGTGTCTACAGAGACCGCGTTTTTTTACAGTGTGTTTAGGGGACAGGCAGCTAGCCGACAGTGAGGAGACGTTTGATGTATGTGACAAAAAATGTTTTGGCCCAGCATCGCTTATAGAACCTTTAAGGGTTAATTTTGTGCACCAATCAAACAAGACTTATGATAACTATTTCATAACCTCTCACCTCAGATTGTACTTGGGATCCAGTGTGACCTTCAGAAGCACTTGAAAAACTTTATTTCATTGGATCGCCTCCCCATGACTCCAGCCAATGGGAAAATTGGAGGTCGGCAGGGTCGCAGGCCAATTTTCTCTGCCATTTCTTCAATTTTCGGCAAAGGTGTGAAATTTGCCGTCCGTGATGGAGTGGTGGCGACTGAGATAATCGGCGTGGCAAGCGAGGACAGCCGTCGTGTGGCGGCTGTGCTGAACGGTGCTTTATACCTGCGTGGCCTCCATTTCACGGTGGAAGGCCGCGACACCCACTATTTCACCAAGGCCGGCCCACTCGAGGCAGATTTGGGAGTGGCCGGGGGCGGTGCCGGAGGCGGTGTCAGAGTGTTGGAGAACGGCGTAAACGTCTCCGTGTCCCAAATAAGTGCTATGGTTGGAGGGGAAATGCGGCGATTCGCTGACATTGTGCTCCAGCAGGGGGCGCTTAGCTTTAACATTCGCTATGGAGCATCGCCCGAGGAAGAACGCACACGCGTGCTGGAGGCGGCTCGAATACGAGCTGTGCAAGGGGCATGGCTACGGGAGCAGAAGAGGGTCCTGGAGGGGGAGGGCGGAAGTTTGTCATGGACTGATAAAGAAAAGGATGAGCTTATTGCAGAGGGCCGTGTCTCAGGGTATGATGGCTTCTACGATCTGCCTGTTGAACAACACCCTGAGCTCGCAGACAGCCCCTTCAACATTCACCTGATCAGACATGTGGAAACCGGTCGCAGGTAACAGCGGCACTTCAGCACACGCCTACACACCCCTTTATACACTCCAAGCTACCACATATCTCTTCAGCTTTTTTTTTTTTTTAGAACCCCAACCAAACAAAGTGAGAGACTCTATTGCCTTTAAAATGTGACAAATGATGGTATTGATTTAGCATTTGTTGATGCACTCTTGGCAAGTTCAGATTCCTGTTTTTCGTTTTTGTTTCTTTTCTTTCTGTTTTACAGTGGCTTTACCGTTCTTACTAAAGAACAAGCCTTGCTTGCCAATCTGAAGGCGCAGAGAATGATTCACCTGTGACTGTTCTAGACATACATAAGGAGTCTTCATCTCTACACGTGCTGATTCTCTCATTCGAGCGTGTACAGTAATCATTCGACTTGTCGAGTCAAACTGGTTATGGCATTAAATCGTGCAAACCTGAGGGGTTTCCTTGTGATTTCATTGAGCGCACTTTAAATGACTTTCCAGAAACTCGACGTTTAATCGGAGATCTGGAACTTTCACATTCACAACAGCGTTCTGGAGTCCTGGAGAAGTATCTGACTCAAAAGTGTCACAAAACTTAACCCCTTAGCAGCAAGAGATTCACAGTGTTTGGAGTCTTGGCTAGAGCTCACCACCATCTTGTGTTGTTTCTGCTTAATCAGTGTTGACGAAGCTGAGAGAATTACACCGCTGCTGTGGAAGACAAATTTGTTTGTTTTTTTTTTGCTAAAACTGTACAGTTTACTTTTCTTTTTTTTCCCAATGTAGAAATAAATTTTAAAAAAATATGTATGTGTAAATTGTGCCTTCCTGGTCTGCTAGAAACGATCACATGAAACGGGCTTAGACATATTGTACATAATCAACTTCAGTATTCGTCACATGCCTTAGTTATATGTAATCATTTATTTTTTGATTATTTTTTATTTATTTACGTTTGGCTCGCAGGAGCCAAAAACATGAATGCTAATTCCTGTGAAGTGAATTCTTGTAAACATACCCCAGGAATTAAACACAGTGGCATAAACATGTCCCAGTTTACAGTTAATATGCTGCTCTTTTTTATTTATTGTCATGTGATTTCACGTGATGTCATGTGAACTCACCTCACGTGTCTGTCATTTTGGTTTCAAAAGAGTGTCAAAGCTCCACCGGTTTGGATTTTTTCAGTACTATGACTGGTCCTTTTTCTTTTTTCTGATCCCTCTCGAAACTAGTAGGAGGCCTGAGGAGGAAGATGTGTAAGGAAATGAAAGAATCACCTGCTAAAGAACGGTATTTTTGTCTTTTACAAACTATTAAAGTCTGCAGCACTGTGGGTAGACGTTCTGTGTGTAGGACTCTTGATATGGACTTGTATATCATTAATGGACTATTGTAGACTGTTTATAGATACTGGACTATTTATACATGACACTCAAAAGAATTAGGAGTAAATGTATTTTCTTGTGAATTCTGTGGATATGCTGTACCATCAAGCTTTGTAACCTTAATCTGAGATATATATTTGCACTGAATATGAGGTGGAGATAAATGCATTAGACTGAATTTTTAGAGTGTGCAAATATTAACAGATTTGTGCAGGAGGTGCTCTAAAGGCACGTCGCGTTTCCGATATTTTGCAGATGTTCATTTCCACTGGAGTACGATTACTTTGCACGAGGAAAAAAAATTGTGGCAGAAATATTTTTTTTTTGATCTTAGTTTGCATCTTTGTCATTATCACAATCATTGCTGAAATGAAAAAGGAATATGTAATTTTTTATGATCAAATCATCTTCCTCTCTCAGAAGTCAAGTACTAAAAAAAATTTCAGTGTCCTCTCCTTGGCCAAACAAGTTCCTGTGGTGTATATTTGGCTGATAGGCTTTATGTACACAGATTAATGCAGTTTGTTAAACATGCCTATTTAAAAACAAAGTACTTTGGGCAGTGGCCTTTTTATAAATAAAAATGCAAATTTAACCCTTTCTTCTGTGTTGTGAGTATTTGCACAGAACAGATGAGGCTCTTGTTCACTCCAGAGAGTGATGTATGATTCATTTGAAAACGTAATATCTTGCGTTTGTTTCTCAAGAGGAATGATCATTCAAACACTGAGGCGTCAATGTTTTATATCAGTTCAAAGAATCATACGCCCTAAAAAATGCTGGCTTGTTTTAACCCAATTTTGGGTCAACTATGAACAAACTCAAACATTTGGGTTAAAAATGTCATTTAAAAATGTAACCCAATGACTGGGGTTTGTCCATATTTGACCCAAAATTGGGTTAAAACAACCCAGCATTTTTTCAGAGTGTAAAGATTCAAATAGAACATTATCTCTCCTGCAAATATTTTTTGGGACTGGAAAAAAAACTACATTACGCATGTTATATATTTTATTTATAACATCAAAAAGGCTCTGAATGTAATTACAATTATTAGAAATCAAAACAATTTTGATTTTAACGTTAGCGTGATAGCATTGTTGCAGGAAGTGTTAGACGGACACACTCTCATTACTAGACTGAAAATAAGATCTGACTTTGTTCAAGGCCTATTTTTCTCATGGGTCTCATCTGTATTTGCTGCTGTCTGAAGTGAGTATTGTTAAAACTAGTTAATTTTAGATGGTTCTTTGTTTTTAAAAAAAATCCTTTTGAAGAAAACACAGTATTGTACAGAGATGAGATGTACAATATACTGTAACACACAGTAGGGAGTGGACAGGTATTTCACATATATTATAGCTTAGCATTTGTTGTTCCAATTATTGTATAAAAAATTACTTTTATATTTGATATTGATATCGACCTGAAAGGAAACAATCATTATTTTTTCAATTGAAATCATGAAATGCATTTCAATGGTTTCTCCCTGCTGATATATCTAATACACTTTAAAGCATTTTTACAATTTACAGCATTTTTACAAATTTTCTATAATTTAGCCTTGGCTAAAGCGCCCCCACCGCTGGTAGAAACAGTGAGGTGTTGGTTTCAACTTGTGTGTTATTGTTGAGGTTTGTTCACAGGATACAGCAGAGGAATAGAGATGCCTTGGTCCGGGATCTTAAATGCAGCAATGAGGTTTCTGGCGCTTCGAAAGAGTCGTTCCTTCATCCCAGGAGCCTTCTGAAAAAAATAATTGAACAAAAAAACGATTCTGGTCTCTTAAAAAGAAATTTTAAAGTACTCTATCTTATACATAACGTTTTATTGTACAATTTAATAGAAATGGTAATTCTAAGAAATAATATATACAAACTTATGGTACTACCACATGACCCATGCAATGAGAAAGATTTCTGAGCGAGTGTAAAATATAAATAAACGAAAAGAGCTTTGTGGTATTCTACTCGTGTGACTGGTGGTTAATGCTGATCAGTTACAGGAAGCACAATGATATGAGATAAAACATGACCTTTATATTGCTCATTTTAAGGTGCCTGTTTTTGGTTTCATAGTGAACCAAAGTGTTGTTTATCGGCATCTCAAAGTGTGTTTGCAGTTTTTTTCACGTCTTGCCTTTCCTTAATGCATATGAAATGGGCTGTGTGAGTGATATTAAAACGTAACAGATATACATTGGCAACTCTCTGGCTGTTAATTTGTGTGGTTTGTGGTGAGCAATGAATACATGCAAAACACTGACCACAAATAGAAAACAAAATTTCCAGTGTACTTCTGCAGTCAACAGTATAATATGTAAGTGTAGTCCTCTTGTTGACCACAAATAGAAAACAAAATTTCCAGTGTACTTCTGCAGTCAACAGTATATAGTGTAAGTGTAGTCCTCTTGTTTATAAAATACTGTAACAGTGGCATTTAATTTTGCTACAGAAATGTTCACACACAACATATGTTAAGATAGTATCTGTTTTTACAAAATTAGATCTAGGCCTATATCCTGTAGGTTTCACTTGACGAAATACAAAAAACTTGATTAAATCTGTTTGTACCTCTATTGTCCAGAGTCCGTCCTTTTGTTTGAAAACTCTGTAGGTGTAAATCCATCCATCACACCTGGAGATGTACACACAGTTATTATGATGATATTATTTGCAGCATAATAGACAGTATAGAATAGTATTGTAGCTTTTACACGCCTGTCTCGAATGCTTAAGCTTGTAGCTGGTTGCATAAACTACTAAGAATAGTCTTGCAAGTACATCCATCTTCCCTTATTCAGATCATTTGCAGGGTTCACTACATACACACACATTTGACTTACACCCGATGCCCTTCCTGAAACATTCACACTCACACACATTCCTACATGCATCCAATCCACCTAACCTGCATGTCTGTGGGGGAAACTGGGTGAAAAAAAAAATCCAGGGTGTGAACGCTTGCTGTGAGGCGACAGTGCAATCCGCTGAGCCACCGCCCTAAAACTAGTCTTACAAGTGCACATCATTTTTCTTTCAAGACCAATTAAGTACAAATATTAAAAGATGGATTGGTCTCATTAGAATCCAAAAAGTAAGACTGGTCAGCCATCCTAATTGCAAAGTTGGTAAGACAGTCTAAAAGGCAATGGCTGCATCCAAAATTGCATACTCTCTTGAGTAGTTACTTATTTTGAATAAAAAAACAAGTATGTTCTGAAGTGTGCCTATGATGGACACTTTATTATCCCATGAGGCCACGGAAGAGGATTTTTGAATAGCAATGATTCTGTTACAACTGATTACAACAACTGATTCTGTTACAACATGGTGAATGTCCCTAGTGAAAATAATTATATACCAAAATGTATTTAAAATAGAATTGTTTCATACTAAGTATACTACAAATCCATTATCATATTTACTGACATATCATTTGACATTTACTGATATGAATATTATAAGTAAACTTAATTTGTAGTACTTAATTTTTCAGCACAAAGTACACTCGTCTATAGGATTATTAGGAACACCATACTAATATTGTGTTTGACCCCCTTTCACCTTCAGAACTGCCTTAATTCTACGTGGCATTGATTCAAAAAGGTGCTGAAAGCATCCTTTAGAAATGTTGGCCCATATTGATAGGATAGCATCTTGCAGTTGATGGAGATTTGTGGGATGCACATCCAGGGCACAAAGCTCCCGTTCCACCACATCCCAAAGATGCTCTATTGGGTTGAGATCATTTTAGTACAGTGAACTCATTGTCATGTTCAAGAAACCAATTTGAAATGATTCCAGCTTTGTGACATGGTGCATTATCCTGCTGGAAGTAGCCATCAGAGGATGGGTACATGGTGGTCATAAAGGGATGGACATGGTCAGAATCAATGCTCAGGTAGGCCGTGGCATTTAAACGATGCCCAATTGGCACTAAGGGGCCTTAAGCCTAGTTCACACAACATAATTTTAAAACGTCAGGCTGAAATGTGCGGTGACTTGCTCTCTGTGAAATCAGGAGTGTTGAAGTTGTTGAGCTGTTCCCAACCACACGACACAAGGTGATTAATCCACAACGTGATTAATCCGCAACATCCCCCACACCATTACACCACCACACATTATGCCCAATTCTTACCATCTGAATGTCTCAACAGAAATCGAGACTCATCAGACCAGGCAACATTTTTCCAGTCTTCAACTGTCCAACTTTGGTGAGCTCTTGCAAATTGCCTCTTTTTCCTATTTGTAGTGGAGATGAGTGGTACCCGGTGAGGTCTTCTGCTGTTGTAGCCCATCTGTCTCAAGGTTGTGCGTGTTGTGGCTTCACAAATGCTTTGCTGCATACCTCGGTTGTAACGAGTGGTTATTTCAGTCAAAGTTGCTCTTGATTAGATAATTGCATTAATGAGAAATGTAACAGGTGTTCCTAATAATCCTTTAGTTAAGTGTATATAGTTGAACTTCAGCACTGTTTCCGGATAACTAAAGTGCATTAAGTAAAAAAAGAAGTTTTTCCAGTTTAGAAGACTTAAAGTATACCAATTTAATATACTAAAAGTACAATTGCATGGTATTTTTATAAAATAACATAATTATATACATATTTACACAGTTATGTACATAACTGTACATATTTATCCTTGTTTTTGCATGGGCCGGGTCTCTTCTTTTCTGTAGCCAGTCTGAAGTCTTTTGCGTTTTACAGCGGGTGAATCTGTTGTCACTGGTGATTGTCGCTTGAACCTTTCTGGATCCGCCATCAAATGAATAAGTTTAATTATATCAAGTGCTGTGAGAAAAGGCTATACATCTCCACCTCCAGGTTCCTCACATACAATTTTAGAAGCAGAGACTCCTTTTTTAAATGGACAGATGTGACATATTGACTCAATATAGCCTGAGACTCTTCTTTATGTGTACAGATGTGACGTAATGACTCAATATTATAGCCAATATTCTCTGATATAGCCTAGACTCCTTTATGTGTACATGTGACGTAATGACGCAGAGACATGCTCGGATTTCCCGCGGAAAAATACCAGTTACATTACAAGCTTACCGTTTTGAATCGAGCTAAGGCAAACATATAGTTTTGAACACAGGCTGGTTGGTTATACTAGCTCAAAAATTATTTTGGACTATTTTTAACCCCAAAAAGGTTACGAACTGGCGCTTTAAGTTAGTCGCAAGTTGCCAACAAATATGATAGTGGCACAATAGTTCTCAAGTGGTTTTATACCGTAACGTTACTTCACAAGTGGCGTAGCCTACCATCACACTGAACAAAACGATGTATGGTACAAAAATTGTTAATGCTCATTTTGAAAGGGGCGTACAATTAAGTCTTATATTTACCACATCTTTTGGCAGAAATAAAGTATGCTGTCCCTAACCCTGCAATGGTTTTCGAGAATGGACGCGAAATATGCAGTTTCTCATTTGTAACATTGTTTTTCCCTGCTGTCCCAAACCAGTTAAAACAGACCCGTGCCGTGACGCATTTTTTCTCCCAAGCCAAGTTGATAATCCCCACTGTTACGACTTTCTGCATTTAACGCTAGATAATGATGCAGTTACTCACAGCACACACACACAGTAAGACCCCACGCAGCTCATGCTGTCTCTGATCAGATAGCTGCCATCTCTGCCCGCTTCGTTCAGGATCTCTTCTGCTTGGTTCTTACTGATGGGTCCATGATATTCTGCCAAATCCTCCATTCTATCGAACTGTACACACGCACACATACACCACAAGAGCTGACCTCACTAAAGGAAGTCAAGAGAAGCAAGCTGTGAGTTAATGGAACTGATCCAGGATCAGCTGCCGCAGACACAATCGGACTGTTCTTAGAAACACTTACTATTCACCTTTATGCAGCAATATTACATTGCTTTCGGTTTGAAATAGAGTTCCTTAGAGCGCAATTCTATTACTCAAACTCATGATAATTTATAGACTAGATATAGACGAATCAGTTTACCTGTTTTCCATGGATTGAGAGCTTTATAACCTATAACCTATTACAGTATGTATTACTGTAAAAACACGACCAGTCGCAGCAACTTTAAGAACTTGATTTTCTCATATATTTTATAATTATGTAGTGACTGAAGTGTGGGATACTGCTCTACACTACTGTGTCCACGCGGGGGCACTGCCGTTCCGTTGTAATGTTGTAACGACAGCAAGTCCTTTTAAAAAACTTTTTTTCTTGAGTTAAAAAACTCGAATCTCCCATTTACAAGTCGTTAAAGTGAAGAACACAATAACTATCTAATAACACATAGTAGGCTACACATACACAGGGGCTATAAGCTGCAGCTGCAACAATTAAGAGGGTCGATTTAATTGATAATTTAATAAAAACAAAAAAACACTTTGCACTTTTACACTTTGCTCATGAACATTAGGCTAATTTGGCTAAAGAATGTCACTAATCAGTTAGCAAAAAAAGAAATGCTAATATAAAGAAATCCTAATATATCTTGGTCATTAATGAATAGGAATGAACATTTATTAAGTACTTCTTTATTTTATTGGTAACACTTTATAAGTTACATTATCAACATTTACTAATACATTATTAAAATCAAATGTTGTATTTGTTAACATTAGTGAACTAACACAAACAACCAATTAGGAGCTGTATTTTTATTAACTAACTTTAACAAAGATTAATAAATACTGTAACAGATGTTTTGATCATTCCAGAATGTTTCTGGAAGGGCATCGGGTGTAAGTCAAATGTGTGTGTATGTAGTGAACCCTGCAAATGATCTGAATAAGGGAAGATGGATGTACTTGCAAGACTAAGTCTTAGTAGTTTATGCAACCAGCTACAAGCTTAAGCATTCGAGACAGGCGTGTAAAAGCTACAATACTATTCTATACTGTCTATTATGCTGCAAATAATATCATCATAATAACTGTGTGTACATCTCCAGGTGTGATGGATGGATTTACACCTACAGAGTTTTCAAACAAAAGGAGGGACTCTGGACAATAGAGGTACAAACAGATTTAATCAAGTTTTTTGTATTTCGTCAAGTGAAACCTGGATATAGGCCTAGATCATCATTGTTAGTACATGTTAGTTAATACATTAATATTAATTAATGAACCTAAATGCAAAAGGGAATACAAATAAGCATTAAGCTAAGTTGGCTATTCATTTTAATTTCACATTTCTGAAAAATATTGTAATATGTTTCATATAATTAAGAAAAATCGATAAACATCATCCTGATATTTCTTAGGCTATGGAAAGGATTTGGGTTGTTTCCATCCAAAAATTGATGAGGGTCAAGTCTTAAGACCCTGTCCAAGTTTATTGTGGTCTCCCTCAAGGCCTGTTCAGTTATTTCCAGTTGTCTCTCTCTCTCTTTCGGTGTAAGCCCTAACCAACATTTGGCGAAGCTCCTGCGCACTGTTCACTTTCATCTCTGAAAATGGAAATGGTAACATGTCTTAATAATAGTTTTGTATTATAGTCCCCCTGTGGTGAAAATCCAGCTTTTAATGCTGTTTATGTCTATGTGGTGTTTTTAATATGCATTAGGGCACACCATGTGTAAATTAATGGTAAATTCATTCAAGTCAACACCATTCCTTTTATTATTATTATTATTATTATTATTTTTCCCTTTATTCATTACTATGTTCAGCACTTTGGATAGCTCTGCTATGTTTAAATGTGTTCTATAAATAAAATTTACTTACTTACTTACTTACTTACTAACTACCGCAGCGATCTCGGAGCTGGTGTAAGTGAGTAAAGGCGGGGCTAATTTGTATAGGCATAAGCAAGGGTGTAGGTTTACATTCAAGCTATTTTAAAGGTGCTATATGTAACTTTTCTTCTAGAAGAAATCCTTTTTTTATTGCCTGTGTGTGAAGGGGTTGTAATCACACATTACAATGATCCACTTGTCGGGTTTTGCTATTACCTCTGAAGGCCAGTATTCCTATGTATTCCAGTATAGTATTCTATGTGAAGTCTCCGGTTCGGATTTTCTGCGAAATCCATCGGATGTGACGTGCATGCGCGCTCCTGAGCCTCTCTCCTTTTTATATACAGTCTATGCGATGGCACTGCAGCTCATGACATGGAGTCTGATAACACCCCAAAACAACCTGCCTCCAGCACAACACAGACTCCAACACAAACAAAACAAAACAAAAAATTATCTGCTGAAGCTCGTCAGGCCAAACGTGAATCGAATTTACTTAGGACGAAAACATGGATCAACATCGGCAGAGCGCCTGAATTATGGAGATACCTCCGCTATTTTTATTGTGATAAATTACAAGTTTTGTAATCAGATGCTAAAATAATGGTAAACTGTAATGAAATAGCAAGGTAAACTATACAACATCTACCCGTCAAAAGTTTTAGATCGGTGAGATTTTTTATGTTTTTAAAAGAAGTCTCTTCCGCTCACCAAGGCTGCAATTATTTGATAAAAAAAAAAAAAAAAAAAAAAAATTCCTGTGACCAAAGCTGAATTTACAGCATCATTACTGCAGTCTTCAGTGTCACATGATCCCACAGAAATTATTATACAGTAATATGATGCTCAAGAAACATTTATGATTATTATCCAGTTTTTTACATTTTTATTTCAGGATTCTTTGATGAATAGAAAGGTCAAAATAGCAGAATTGATCTGAAATGGAAAGCTTTTGTAACATTAATCACTACCATTCAAAAGTTTGGGGTCAGTAAGAATTTATTTTTTATTTTTGGGAGAAAGAAATTAGAAAATACTTTTATTCATCAAGGATGAGTTAAATTGATCAAAAGTTACAGTAAAGACATTTATAATGTTAGAGAAGATTATATTTTAAATAAATGTTGTTCTTTTGAAAAAATGGTTTTCGACTGTTGGTTTTCAAAATGGTTTAAAAAAATGACACGACTGTTTTCAACATAATAATAAATTATTATAAAAACAAAATAATAATTTATGTTTTTTGAGCATAAAATCAGCATATTAGAATAATTTCTGATTTCATCATGTGACACTGAAAACTGATGTGTAATCAGCAACAGTAATGTTGAAAATTCAGCTTTCAAATTACATTTTAAAGTATATTACAATAGAAAATTAAAATAGAAGTTTGTCTATTTTTTTTCATCTAATAAAGCAGCCTTGGTGAGCAGAAGAGACTTCATTTAAAAACATAAAAAATCCTACTGATCTAAAACTTTTGACCGGTAGTGTATCCACAAGTCCAACATAAGGCCTTGCGTCCAAAGTGGGCACGACTTCCGGTTCGAAGTAAACAAAGCGCGACTTGACATGCTTGACACTCGTTCATTCAACAGTTGACAGTCATTCAAGTTATAGCGATCCAAACGATGTGGGAACACCTCAACGAAATTCAAAAGGGTGAAACAGTACCTTTACCCTCCGCAGTAGTTGATTGGGAGTATTATAATAACATCATTAATAATCAATACTCATCAAGGCATGGTGACAGACAGTTGTGCGAGCTGACAAACAATTAAAATAAAAAATACACACTTAGTCATTGTGCTTTGGAGTTTATTCAAAATTATAAATGAATGTGCTACTTGAATACATTAACTGGCACATTTGGTATTCTGTCAACACAGGCTATGATCCTGAGTTTAGGTGTAACATCAGTAGCGAACAGCCAATCACATGCTGATAGAGTTTATAGAATATTAAGAATTTAAACAAATGTATACAGGAAGATTCGTCGTCTTTTGGGAGGTGATGGAAACTACAGTCGTTGGCAGGATCAGACACGGGCTCTGGCAGGATCACTCTGATTTCGTATTCAGCTTATGTTCAAAACAATCATGTTTAAGCCACTGAATTAGTTTAGTCCGGTTATACATACAACCGCGAACAGCACATGATGTCCCTGAGCTCCGTAACGACATCTCTCATAAAGATTTGCGTCTTTAAATAGTAAAATATTTCTCAGAAAAACAGCTAGCCTCTTCGCTAACTAACACACAAAACACCATTGGAATGCTACTTCCCGCCACCTCACCGGAAGTTTCACCCACTTTATTTTTTACAGGAGCGCCCCTTGGAAACTTGTGGATATGAGACATGAAATTAATTTTTAAAAAAAAGACTGTTCCATGATAACAAAAAGTAGGTGCTTTGGATGTAACTTTTATTTTATGTACTAGATATCTAATGTCACTCATCCCATCATATTGTTTATAATACACATTTCCAGACACATTCAGTACAGTAATCCAGCCCATTCTCACCCCCAAGGCGTCACCTAACTGACATTTGACCATGCTTCAATATCTGACGCTTTAGGCGCCCTTTAGAGATGACGCCCTAGGATCGCATGTACCCTACCCCCACCCCAGACCTAAACCTAACCGCGTCCTCTAACTGACGCTTTCCTTTAGCGTCAGTTAGATGGCGCCGTAGGATCGCGTCATGTAAGTGACGCTAAAGGGCGCCTAAAGCGTCAAATATTGAAGCATGGTCAAAAGTGACGCCTTGGGGTGAGAATGCGTTGCGTAATCTTACTTTCTACGATCTTACTGTTACACTGAAATTGTTCAGTCTTCACTAACCATTTTCGAAATCATGTTATACATTTACCTATCTTTCACATTGCTGATTGTGAAAGATACACAAATAATGAAATGCCTTATGCTAGATAACACCACAAATGTAATGTTATCATAGTACGAGCATGGAGCATTACTTCAACGTCAAGCTGATAAAAGTAGCCTATTATTGTAACGTTTCATTGGAAGTTTACATGAGTTTTCAGCATGTTGTGTGATGCTTTCTCCAGTGTGTTGA